CAGCCGCTATGTTCGGAATGCCGGCGTTAAAGTAGCCTATATATTATTCCAGAGTATAATTTATCTCTTTGCCAAATTTCATTCAGTTCCGTCTAGTAAGATCATCGAAAATAACGACTTACTGACATGCATTAACTGAAATAAGTTTCAAGTTCACTACACGTTTCAAGTCACACCGGGATTCTTATCATGAGCAGCGTGCATGTCGCGTGACGTCACCGTGTTCGTCGTAAGCTGTGAATAAGCCTATCGGCTTATTACTTATACTTTCAATAAATTTAGGATGTCTTACGATAATTACCGTTCAGTAGTTTTACGATTATGTCGTAGACAACGTTTTAATTCATATTTTCGAGTAAAAGCTAAACAGAATAAAGGTGATTACCCAAATTAGATTATGTATAAGCTTAGTTCTATTTTATTAAAATTCTATATAAAAGACCGAAGCAGCTCATCGGTCGAAAAAAATGGCAGGACATTAGGCGATGTCTTAACGAAATACGGTATTAATTTGCTACCGTAATGGGAATTAAGTACGCGAAAGAATTAATTATGATTTGGATGATTTTAATTATCAGCTCAAGTTGCGTTAATGATTTCTTTTTATAATCTACACCTATACTTTTTTGTAGGTAGCTAGGTACCTAATTACTACAATCGGAGCGACTCTTGCGTCATAACGAAAATGCCTAATATTTTCTTTCGTATTATTAACAAAAATGAATATAATATTGTACACGCACTGATAAAATAACAGCTTAGAACCAAAGATAGGCGTTTCTTCGAAAATATATTTATAGAATGAAATTATTTTGTTAACTAAACATTTTTTAAGGAAAAAATTATAGTATTATTAAAAAAAAGGAAACGATATACTTCTGTCCTTGTCATTTCGGGTGTGTCGTCATTGACATGTCATTTGTTTTATTTTTTAGTTGCGATTACGGCGAGAAATTATTGAATAGTGAGGTTTGAATTTAGAAAGAGAACGCAATATGTTTTTGTCTTTGTCATTTCGGGCGTGACGTCATTGACATGTCATTTGTTTTCATGCTGGCAACGTAGCCGGTGAAAAGTTGCTGCATTGAAAGAAGGAGAACGCGATATGCATCTTTTCTTGTCATTTTGGGTATGACGTCATTGACGTGTCATTTGTTTGTGAATTGGCAACGTTGCAATTATGTATGTAGATAGTTATCATGGTGTATGCTTCGTCCGCGTGACTTCATGAGTTGTGTTACTCACAACGGGAAAGAGAGTTTAAGGGTTTTAGCCCGTAGATACTCGATTTTATCCAACTTACTTAGTACAATACCAGATACTTAGTATAATACCAGTAATTGGAGTAAATCCAAAACACACCTTCAATAATTTTGTAAAATAATTATTTGAAGTCTCATAATTAATTTATTTACCAAACTTAACAAAAACCCTGTACAGACGGACTTCATGCCTCAGGCATTTTCTCTCGACCTTTAGGTACTGTGGAGATGAAAGTGACAGGTGATTTTTTTATTGTAGGCGGTGTTTACTTTTTTGTTCTGTATTCTGAGACTTTTTGATAGTATTTTGTGGTATTTTAGAATAGACTAGAAAGAAAGTCTTATATAAAAATAATATAAGTATCAATAAACATAATCACTACATACACTAGTACAAAACAAATGTGTGTGACTACTATAATAAATATCATCTTTCTATTAAAGAATATTTTACTACTAAGATGTTAAAGTTATCCATTACTAAACTATTGACAGAATTTACTTAACAAAAACTGAAAGAAAATATTATCAAAGCAAACTTCAAGTGATATTTATACCCACTAAGGGATGAAGTTACCTCAAACCCTTTCTTGGGGTTCGTGTTTCATTGTATCGATTATTTAGGTGATGTCCAAACGAAGCAACTTTGACATTATTGTGAATTTTTACAACAGTTTAGGTTTAAAATGCACTATATTGTCTATACTAATATTATAAACAGGTAAAATTTGTAATCTATACCAATATAATAAAGAGGTAAAATTTGTAAGTTTGTATGTAGGGGGTAATCTTTGGAACCGCTGGTCGGATTGCCAAAATTCTTTCACAGATAGATAGCTACAATGTTCCTGAGTGCTAGAGGTTAAAACAAAACATCAGGCTACGATTAAATGAAACCGCGCGGGATTAGCTTGTAATGTATAAAATGTCGTGGTGGCCCAGTGTTTAAGGCACCCGCTTCTCATGGCTAAGTTTGCGAAACTTGGCAAGGTCAAAAGGTGAAGGAAAACATCGTGAGCAAATCGAGTTTGAAATGGTCAATTTACCTTATACAAACGTGGTGATAAGTTCTTCCACGTTCTTGTATGAAGTTAATTTTGCCAGCAAGCGCTGATAATGCGATTGCGCGAGTAATAATAAGTATATGAGCTTGTCTATATTATACTGTTCATATTATGTTTGTTCTTTGCTTTTGGAACTACGGTTACTACTACGGGTTGCGTAATAGGGGGCGTAGCCAACTTGCAAAGGCCCGTTGAACAATATTAATCTAAATGTGATGGGACATCAGCCGCAATTATACTTAGATGCACTATGGTAGTGTATCCAACGACAATCTCAAATTTATGCAGGAATAATGCGAAATGTGGAAAATATTAACAAGGTATGGGTTTGACTTGCTATGGACTAGTAGACTTGATAACTATGGAAATACTTCGCCCCCTGTCCCTGACCAATATTGATACATACGGACTGTTTATATAATAATAATTTATTACATATAACATCACATATCATGTATATATAGCTAGCTGTTACCTGTATTATGCATGAAAGTGTATCTTTGCAAATGCACTCTGAATGAAGTGGTTTTGGTAACATGAATATTTTCATGAGTAACCGTGGCTGAAATAGGAGACGGTTCGCTAGAAATAAAGTGCAAACAGATTGAATAAAAAATATGTACTTTATTTGCCTTTTCAGAGTTGTAATGTGGAAGCATTGATATTTTTTTCTAATATTCATGTAAATTTCATTAAGAATTTAGGAAATCTTTAATGTTTTTGTTAGAAATCTAGGCGTTAGTCGAAATGGGTAGGAAGTATTAGCCCTAAAATCTAACATATCAAATGGATAAAATTCTAGGTAGTTCAAAAAAAAACAAACTACTGTTTTATCTTTGTATATGAAATGCAATGGTTTACCTACATGAGTGAAACACAATGTAAAAGTTTAATCTGTTATAATAATAAGTATATGACATATTGAAAAAAACTACTTTTCAGGTGGATTAACTAAGAACAGCTCTTCTGAGGGCTGATTTTTCAATGGTTTGATAAAAGTTACCTGGGGAATGATTATGATGCTGTCGCGTCAGAATGTTCTTATAAGACAATGACAGTAACAATTTTGACTGACTATTGAAAAATCAGCCCTAACTCTTAAGGGGACTCTTAATCGAAGGGTGACTTTTGAGGTGCGTGTGTGTCGCGGTGACGTCGCGTTTTTTCAGTTAATTAACGTGAGTTAGTCTAATTGACAATAACTGTACAAAAACAATAAATGGGCATATTGTATTGTTGGTGATATCCTCAAAAACTTGAGGCTACAAAAATCTCATAAGTTTAGGAGAAAATAGATATTCTCGCTCTAAACAGGTGACATTACCTAATAAGTAAAGATTATGGCTGAAAAACATGTTTTCTTTTCGTGTTTCGTGAGTATTTCGACCGTACGTAATTGAAACATTATTTATCGTTTAGGAACTTTAGGACAGTACCCTTGTAATGGTGTATCTGATAAAAACTCCTTTTATTTTCCCTTTACAAGAATCATAATAATAAGATAAGGATATATATTTTGTGGGTCATATAGAAAATTATTGTTGTGATATCGCGTCCTATATTTTTATTTGATCCCCGGGATTCAAAAATTTTATTTAGGTACGGTTTCAATATGAAAGTAATACATACCAACTAATAGCGTAGGTCAGAATGGGCTGGCTTGATCGAACACAATTCTACTCCTCCCATTCCTCCTCATTTAGGGAATGGGGAGGTTATTATTTTTAGTTTAGTGTTATTAGGTTATATTTTTGGGAATTATGGAATCGATGGCTCTTCGAACTCGTAACTCTTCTGGTATTGCGGGTGTCTATGGGCGGCGGCGATTGCTTACCATCAGGTAGATATTATCTATTCTCGTTTATAGCTGTATTCCAAAAAAAACTTGTTACTAAAGTAATAAGAATGAGAATCACAATTTCCAATATATTAGTCGACACGTGGACTTTTTTGTTTATCATAAAAGTGATTATAATAAAATCTAATTTATAAAAGGAACCTTGCATTATTTAATAGTACTTCCTTAAACATATTTAATCTGGGCTTTGTAAGAAAGCCGATATTTAATAAGAACAAAATATGGTATATGTAGTAAGACAATCATTCTTCTTCCTCATCTTAAATGCAAAATATTCCTTTTAATTAAGTTGTTATGAATTATTAAAATTAACTTGGTATTACAATATAAAGTATTTTCTTTTTCTGATAGCACGTTGTCGACGCGACACACCCTGCTTATAAATGAGAGTCCTAGACTTGAAACTAGTTGAGGTTTTTTTCAAGTGTGTAAATGGTTCAATAATTTGCTATTTTTTTGCATGATAGATACTATATTTTTTTATTAAATTATGCAATCGTTACTCCATTTATCTAATAGTGATATTGATCTATTTCTAAAGTACATCTTGAAGCTAATACCCACTTTAATCAACTTATACTACAAGTTCTTTGTTACAAGTAAAACGATACTTATATTACACTAGTCATCTTAGCAGGCATAGTCTCTGTAATATAGACCTAATCTTCCAGACACTAAAACCCGATTTGCATGACACAATTATGTTACTTAATTTATGAAATTAATTTCGTATATTATGACTTGTGTTGTGTAAACACTACGTATGATATCATATAAATGATCTTTAAAATTTGAATTTAAATATTGCTACCATACCTGTGCGATGAGTTTCTGCAACTCTTCATTTTCTTTGACTAGTTCCCGGTAGCGCTCCTCGTCAGCTGGGGCGGAGCCTGAACCGGAGCCCCGACCGCTCTCCGCCCGCTCCGTTGGATGGCGGATTACCTCGATCACCTGTACAGGGTAAGTAAAAATATAAAGCTTACCACCATACCACGGGTACCATCAGCTGGGCAAGCGCAATGAGTCACCGAGGCCTCGGCCCAGAGCAAGAGAAGGAACGGAGGTTTTTAGTCAGTAACAATCTGATACTATCGCCCGACCCTGGGCGGGAGAAGTTATTTGATATTTTGATGACCATAGAGTACAATCGAATTAATTTCATTTGAAAGTAGTGACCACCCGCCCCTGCTTCTCACGGCTTCAACTATCTCGCAAACAACGAAAGGGTCACTTTATCCCAATTTCTATTATAAGAAGAACCTTTTCCTCGCGATTAATATAAAAAACTTACAATAAAAACATACAACAGATACATTAAAAAAAATTGGCAAAATTGGTCCAGTCGTTCTCGAGTTATGCGCTTACCAACACATTTCGCGATTCATTTTTATATTTTAAGAAGATGATAGTTTCCTGAGAATTTTGTTCTACGTAATAATAATTATGTTTTATTCTGGTTATTGATTGTGTTTTATTCTGTTTTTATTACAAAAATCACAGTACGTCACAGAGCCTTATAGATTTTTAATGTTACCGTTTTATAATAGCTTCGGAAATCTATTAAAGACTTGATAGTTTGAGGTCGCTAGTTGTGCTGTTGTCTGATTTTAAAATACGATGGTTATTTTAGATAACTATTAAAAGTTGACCTCTCGCAGCCTACATTTTGTTTGCAGTATGAGGTCGCCTTGAGCTGGGATTTAGATTATCATAATGTCGCATTAAGTAGGAAGCTAATGTTGGGTGAAATGCAAGTAATCGTCACACATTTTCCCCGAAGATAAAGGGGTAAGTAGACCTGTATGATAGTAATGGATTAATACAGCCATTTTCAGACTACAGTTAAATTGACCAAGGAGAGATTAAATAAAGTCACAATTTTTTTATGTCATAGTTCGGCAAACAAGCAGACGGATTACCTGGTGGTAATCAATCAGCGCTGCCCATGGACTCTGAAACGGAGAAGATACGAGTGCGTTGCCGACCTTTTAGGGATTAGGGATTAGGGATTTGGAGATTTAGGGATAGGGGGATTGGAAGGATTGGGCTTCCGGTAATATCACTTACACGGCGAAACATAATGCTGTGGTTTGTCTGGTTTTTTGTGAAGCCGTGAACTCCAATTTTATTAATGTCGCTTATAATATAGGTTTTTGAGGAGGCAAAATCATCAAGTGGCTTCTTCCGCCCTGAGTAAGATGAGAGTCAGACTAATGTTGATTGAAGAGTATCATCTATTTCTTACAATGTTGCGCTTACACCCCGAAACCCGGGTTGCTAATAACCTTAGACACAAATTAAGTGTCATTTATCTATACTAATATTATAAAGAGGCAAATTTTGTAAGTTTGTATGTAGGGGGTAATATTTGGAACCGCTGGTCGGATTGCCAAAATTCTGTCACTGATAGATAGCTACAATGTTCCTGAGTGCTATAGGCTCAAATGGAGCCGATCAAATGGAGCCGCAGCGGGTGAAACCGCGTGAGCGTAGCTAGTAGGAATAAATTGAAAAAAGTCCCATGGTATGAATATTAGCCAGATGCCAGATAATATTATGTTGATGCTTAATAGTACCTGGTAGAAAAAATGTTTTTATAATAACACCAAAATTTCAACAACAAAAAATCGTACTATATCAGCGTTCAATGCCTTTATCTCTCTAAAAATGTGCCTGTATATAAATATCAAAATTAAAAACACCGACCACGTGTCAGTACCGTTTTTTTTTTTTTTTTTTTTTTTTTTTGTGAGGGGAAAATCATCAAATGACTTCTCCCGCCCAGGGCCGGGCAGGAGGGAGTGTCAGACTCTTACTGACTAAAAACCCCCCTGTTCCTTCTCCTGCTCTGTGCCGAGGTCGCGGTACCTCATTGCGCTTACCCCGCAACCCCGGCTGAACATCAGCCCTTTAGGGCCCCGTCTGTGGTGGTCTATTGGCTCTTTGAGGCGCGCGCGGAACGCTACGCGCCGTACGCTCGGGCCTGGTTCTGGTCGGGCGGCGAGCTGCCCTTACTCGCCGACCGCAGGCCCGTACTTACGGTGGCCGGAGATCGTCCCTCGATCCCCGACGCCCGTAGTGTCGCCAGTTGCGGCTGCTGGGGCGTGAGGAGGAGGATTGCTCCCTCACGCGGGCCGCCTCTCTCTTTGCGAGCATGACTGCTTCACAAAAGGAGGAGACGGCGTCCCAGTTCCTCTCACTCCGCACCATGGCCTCGACTAAGGCCGGGCGCGAGAGGTCGCCGCCGCCGATCACTTCCCTGAGGATACGGCGGTGCTCAGCCCAGGCAGGGCATACCGCTACCGTATGCTCCACCGTATCCTCTAGGTGGTCCTCACAATGACGACACTCGGGCGTTTCCTCCCGCTGAATCCGAAACAGGAACCTACCGAAGCTGCCGTGCCCGGTAAGCACCTGCGTCAGACGGAAGGTGAGGACGCCGTGGCGTCTCTCAAGCCACTCCTCAAAGAGGGGTCTTACCGCTGCTATGGTAGCGTGCCCACGTGTCAGTACCGTATGTCATAAAGATTGTTTTATTAATCACAATGTGTAATCGAGGATTATGTGCCGAGGCACGTGTAACGCAGCGTGTGCGGTCATTGCTTTATAATTACTATAGATAAGACTTAATAATCTAAATACTAATGTTTCGTAAATAATTACTGTCTAGATAATAAGTACATGTATATCTTATTCGATAGTAGAAGTAATAAACACGCCTTGTTACGTTTTAATTACCTTTTTTGATATGATAATGACTTTAAAACCTCATGAGAACCTTTCAATAGTGGTAATTCGAGACAAAATAGGCGCGCAAGAGCCGTTCGCTTGGTGTTTGATTAAATAAAACATTGTTATATTTCTAACCTAACTAACTTTTGTTTTGATAGGAGAAAGTGTTCAAAGGACTTTTTTCGCCGTAGATGGGGTGAAAGAGAGTATAAGACGCACAACGACTAAATACCACCCTGTTCTTTCTTCTGCTAAATTATCAGGCTTGTACCCGCAACCCCAACATTTCTTACTAATAGTCACATGATGTACAGATAGTAATTATGATGTATTATTGAAACTGGATGTATTGACTACTGACTGATCTTTTGGGACAGAGTCTCAAATAATTTAAAAGTTAAGAATATTTACTTGTGTACAAGTAGATATTCATCTTATTATTTGACACATACCCTAGACCTTCACACGACCAACTAAAATAAGGTTTGTAACAGAGTTGGCCTTTATTTTAAAATACGAAAATAATTAAACAATAACCAAACAACATAATTGATTGATTGGAGAGGGAAGTGTTTAGAAGTGAACATAATGATGTGCCTTTTTTAAAAGGGAAAATTTAAAAAAGAAGAAAAAGAAACTCTTGTAGCCATAGGTAAGGCCAGATGGTACGCCAGACACAATTAACTAAAAATCATATTAAATGTTAGGAAAAATATAAAGTTTTAATTCCGCGACAAAAATTAAAACGAATTAAACTAAATATTTTTCCTAACATTTAATGTCATGGATTTGCGCAAAGTATCGCCTGATTCTAAAAATTAACCTAACTAAAAATCACCCTGTCCCAAATCCTGTTTTAAGCATTGCTATGGTATCTCATTGTAGTTGATCATCAAATAACTTCTTTCGCCCAGGTTAAGGCGAGAGGGAATGCTAGACTCTTACTGACTAAAAACGCCACCCCTTCTTCTGGTCTAGGCCGAGACCACGATACCTTATTGTGCTTGACACGCAATCCTCGCTAAACGTCGGGCCTGGTAAGCACCATCTGTGGTGGTCAGTTAGATTTTTCTGCCGCGCGCAGAAAGCTATGCCTAGCCTTTTTTTGTGAGGGGAAAATCATCAAATGACTTCTCCCACGCAGGGTCGGGTGGAAGGGAGTGTCAGACTCTTACTGACTAAAAACACCACCGTTCCTTCTCCTGCTCAGGGCCGAGGTCGCGGTGCCTCATTGCGCTTACCCCGCAATCCCGGCTGACCCCGTAACTACACCCTTGGGTTTGGTTCTGGTCAGGTGGCGAGTTACGCTTGGTCACCGACCGCAGACCCGTGAAGGTATTGAATGATAGACATCGCCCCCCTCCAAATCTAGCACAAAGCAGGGCTTCCATATGTCATTGCGCTTGACTTATAACCCAGGGAAGGTGATGGAGCTACCAAAATTAGAATTATAAAATATTTGTTTTTTATTTCTGTCTAAACAAAGTTGCGAACAAATGTTAGCTGTCTACAAATTCCGATCACGGAATGACTAACAGTTTTTACACATACATACAATAATAATATCGCGTCTGAGTGCTATCGTAGATAAAAGGATAAATAGGATTATTTATTTTCAATTTGCTAGCCTTCGTAATTTCTTTATTATTATTAAATATTCGGAAATAGATATTCACTAGACATGTAATTAATGATGTCAGTTATCACATATTTACGTATAATTAAATGTTTGTGTCGGTAGTCTCAGCCTAGCTAAGTTATTTTCTTATTGAATAGGTTGCTACCGTGTCCATTAACAATCTGTTGCGAGATATGTGTAGTTTTGAACACAAATACACTGTTAACACAATGTAGTATATTAAAAAACCTTCTTAAAAATAGCAACTATTTGCGTGTTATTTTCGTTTCAGGTTAATAACTTGATTTTGTAAGACTCCGTTAGAAAAGAGCCAATATTATATTAATCGAAAATTGAGCATACATACATGTATAAATAATGCTACCTCACAAATTTGCTTCAATTTAAAGACAATAGATTTCCTACTCTAATACAAAACGATAAACTTGAAATTCTATTTAGCACACAAGATTACTTTTAAATACTGCCAACAGTTATTTAATGTGGATATAGTGCCATTATACCCCGGCTCGGGTGTAAATGTTCCACAAAGACATTTTTCTATTTAAACTGCCGCCATAATACCGATTATCATGTTAAATCGTGTGAAAGTATCGCAAAGGTAGGCATTAATTTCAGTTAGGAGCCCAACTTCTGCCGTAACTCAAAATTTCGGTTTATATTTTAAACGGCTGAATCAATTTGCCCTTAAAAGGAATTTTGAGGTCTCTATTTTTGGAGGTGAAACAAAATATTCGATGAGAAATTGGCGTCATTAAGATTAATATGCTGTAATGGTCGAGGGAGGTTTTATTTCTTTATATACATCCGACTGAGTATATTGCTAAGTTATTGAAAATACTGATGTAAACACACCAAAAAACACTGTTAAGTAAAACACATTCTATTTTTAGTTACTTTTTTAAATCGTTTTATTTATATATTTATAATAATTTTATCTTGTGTCGTGGATTCTATTACATTATTCAAGTTCTGAAGATATTATCTAACCTTGTATCTTGTTTATAGAATTTGGTTTTCGGGTCTTTATCAAACTATGACTAATTAATATGTAGTAGGTAATTTCTAACTTTTAATTTTAAAATATGGAATGTATATTTCTACATGTAAAGATTAAAGATTTGTACTGTCCGTCGTATCCTGAATTGTGTATTCTATGTTGTTTTGGTTTATCAGTGGCGACCGGGCGACAGTATGTACTTGAAGACAACAGACGCCGAGATCTTTATAATTAAATAGGTCATTCAAAATTAGGTCAGATTTTATAACGAAGAATCAATTTTTGTTATCACCCCATTCAAGTGTACGGTGTTTTGATTTTCTTGTTTATGTTTAAGTAACATTTTAAGAAAAAATGTTGATCGACATGTTTATAGATTTTGTAAGTGCAATTCAGAATAGTTTCTGGTTAGGGACAACAAAATATGTAAATACACATATTAACGATTTGTGTGTCTTTTCAAACACATAATACTTTTTAAATTAAGTAGGTTACATAACTAGCACAGCTTACAAACTCATTAAAGTAATATAACATGTCTGAAAAAAATATATAAAGTGTAGTAAAAGAGAGAAAGAGAGATATAAAGAGAGAGAGAGAGAGAGAGAGAATATAGTAAGAGATAATACTTCAATGTGTTTAGCAACTTTGCAGGTGTGTCCTTCCGCATTATGTTTACTGCTATTATATTTTGTCCATGACCATTCCTGAATAATCTATACATCTATTACTTTGTCTAAGTTACAGATAATTCAGGGCTGTTTTGAAACCTAGACGCTATTGTCTGTGTGTCAACCGCTCGTCAACTGTTCCATACAAAACAGTTTGACCTTGATTTCGTAAGCAATAAGGGCGATATTCGCAACAAAGAGACGATTATATGATGATTTAGTTGTAGAACGGAACAGTTTAAGCTATATATTGTTAATTACAAAATCTTGATAAACTAATTTGTTACTTAAGTATAAGGGTATAAGGGTGTGCAAAGTTTTGTAAGAATTTAGTCTACAAGATGTTTTTGTTGAATATGAGATGCTTCTTCTTCAGCCAGTCCTCTGACCACCTTGAAGGACGTCCATCACTAAGGAACAAAAGCAACATTATCTTTATCAAGCCAACTCACCTTAGGAATAAATATCAGTGCCATGCTGAGAAAACAGCAAAACACGATGGCTAGTGACACGAAGGCGAACGCCGCATCCTGCTGGCTGGCGATGACCAGGGTCACTGGAGCGGTGATGAGGCACAGCACTACCACGTTATAAATGCTCATGCCGACGTATCTTGAGTCATTGATCTGGCGCACCTTCACCGAACGGGTCTCGTATGCCAGGAACAAGCCGAAGACCAGAACTAAACCCTTGTAGCCGTACATTACACCTGAAACAAAAGTGGGACTTGTACTTCTTTCGTTCTATTCATTTGGGTAATTAACGGATTTGGAGATTTGGAGGAGGGACGGGTTTAATTTGTTGCGATTATTTATACAAAATAATGTTTCGATGATCGGAGCATGACAAGTAAAAGAGTGGGAGAAGTCATTTAATGATTTTCGTCCCTCAAAAGGAAAGGGATAAGGATAAATAAACTAAGGATGTCGTGGTGGCCCGAGGGTTAGAGAGCCCGCTTCTCATGCATGAGGTTGCGGGTTCGAAACCTGGCAAGTACCAATGTGACTTTTTCCGAGTTATATGTACTTTCTATGATTATTTAGACACCACTGACATACGGTGAAGGTAAACATCGTGAGGAAACCTGGACTTATAATTTCTAAATATAAGTTTGAAATCGCTAACCCGCATTGAGCAAGCGTGGTGATTAATGCTCTAACCTTCTCCCTATGAGAAGAGGCCTTTGCTCAGCAGTGGGCCCTTATAGGCTGATGATAATGAACTAAGGATAGATATGTACACATACAGTTATTATCCTATATAATTCTGCCCAAAATAAAATATCGGACGTCGAGTTACGCAGAACCACGTTTTTGAGCACTCATACCATACGCATGTTTTAAAAATGCGAGAAACATAACAAAAAGAACAGCTGTTAAGAACGACTTAAGAAAAAACTTAAAATTCACAAAGTTACCGTCGCAAATGAGTCGCAGTGGACTTTGTTGGAGATTTATGTAATGTAATTCACTGTTTACTTTACTTTAAATCACTTTGTATTAGAGCTCATCTTTTCAAATTATTGTTGTTTTGTTATAAGGCTCAGAATTCGGTTTATTTCGTAATTAAAAGTTGCTATCAAATTAAACGACTGCCCCTAGCTTAAGTAAATGTTTTTCTATTTGAAAATGGAGCGTCAAGGGACATCTTATTTCTAAGAGTTTCTGTAAAGTTACGTAGAACAATATTTTTGTTTGTGCAGCTCGCATTGGAATATTCTAGAATAAGTGGTGCGTGAAAATGGATCGTATTCGTAGCTGAAGGCAGGGGCGCTCCACGTCAATACTGACAAGTTGAAGTGTTCATTTTACATGTGAATAATTGGATATTCTGTACGTACTTATACAAACACTATTTACATGTAAATAACGTTTATTGCCGGCAAATTGATATGCCAATATTGGGGCGTTCTATTTATATTTTTCATAAATTTTGGCGACCACAAAATAGACAAATTTGAAAGAAAAATATTTTAAATTTACTGTGTTATTTATAACATATGATATATAACATTACTATATGTAAAAAAAAACTATTAATTTATAGTGTTTCTAAAATTTATATAAATTAATATCTACAGCGTGATTCTGTAAGACTTCATTCTAAATTTCAAATCTGAATCCGCTGTGAGTAGTAATAGTAGGTACCTACACTAGCGCTACACTTTGAACTAAATTGACCTCAACATTTTGATAGATAAACCCGTATGAGATCACGTTAAAAGTGGCATTCTATAATGCAATTCTCCCGTCACTTCGACGCTCACTTCACATTCGAACAAGATTCAAAATCAAACAAATTTTATTGAATCGACGTGCTAAAGTCGATCTAGTTGACTTAGGTCCGATAAATAAGATCAGTCAGTCCAGTTACTGAGATAATCTTGTATAATCTAATACAACGCAATATATCTTGTAAATACCAATTAGAGTATGTTGACATTGTAATGATGCTTAATACTGCATATCAAGTAGTAGCACAGAACATACATTACATAACATTTAGTTTAAGTTTGTTAACTTTTAATAGCCATTAAACCAGAAGACGAGCATCCTTAATATTTTCGCTGACCTAATTACAATTTCCAAATCACCTGCTTACCTAGTGATCATGGCAATTTTCGTGTAAGTGTAAGACCTTCACAGATTCTAAAGTTGTTTTGGCTTACAGTGGTTCGTGGGTACCCTAAAGAGGGCGTACCCATCAGACCACCACCGCAGGCGCATTAGGAGCGTAAACAACTGAAGGCCTACCATGACGCCCTGACGTGTTATTCCGTGAATGAGGCGAGAAAGAGGGATGGAGCTATACACCTTTTATAACTCCATCCCTCTTTCTCGCCCGGTAGGCCCTCAGGTTAGATTTTAGTCAGTAACAGTTTGACACTCTCGCCTCACCCAGGGCGGGCGGAGAAGTCATTGAATGATTTTTCTACGGCGTAGTTTTTCAGGAGATTACAGAGCAGTATGTAAGAGGTTATAGATGTGTGTGTTTGTGTATATGTGGTGCTTCAACCATAACGCAGGAAGTGTACTGCATCTAACACTAAACCCACAAGTAAATTATGTGAGTTATAGTGTCAAGGAAATAGTGCGGTTTGCATACCGTACAATGGAATTTCGCACACTTAGATTTTAGTCAAATTTCCGTGGTATTTGGCGACTGATGCACTCCCAGTTGGGAGGTGTCTTTGTGCCTTTAAGACTAAAGTCATTATTACTCTTGCATTATATTCACCAAGGGAAGTGGAAGCTACTTTGTTTTCTTCGCCTGTAATAATATTTTCTGATTTATTTCGTTGCGGGATCTAGACAGACCGTTATTCATGTTTCTGGGAATGGGACCTTAGTGTTTTGGTGTTTCATGTAGCAGTGGGTTTGTTCCAAAAATAACAATACTTTTAAATATTTAGATTCCCTATTGGGGGCCTCAAAGTTCTAAAACAGGTTACAGAAACTATCTTTGTTAGGACACAGCCATGAAAGTGCTGTTATTTTTTGAAAATAAGCTGCAGTAACAAACTCGCTTCATTATTACACGTGAAGTGTATATTTATACGGAAGGCTTCTGCACCTCACGGTAACAATTAGGGTGACGACTTGTTAAATTCAATACTTTATGCCAAATTTCAATATTACCTACAGATTTTTTTCAGTCCTACACCGACACCTAAATCATGACATCATATTGTTTTGCATCAATATCATACTCTTGAATTAAGTAGACAAATAATGAAATGAAGTTTTTAATAAACTTTATTACAAATCCATACTCACAGCACACTAGACCTTACATGTATACAAGAAAATTTCGATGGCATCTACCTCCGTTAAGATAAAGTAAAATAATAACAAAGCAACTGCAATATGGTCAACAATCCTCTATTTCTGAATGACACCCACACAATTCTGCGTTGCTATTGGATCATTATTAACAAGTCAGTAGCGAGCATTCCTACCTAACAATGACGGACTATCGACCGTATACGAACAATTAGATCTGTCAATGTGCTATTTGACTGGCATTGGTGGCATTGTCTCTAATAATGTGATTATTGCACTACTGTTGTTTTGTATTAATTGAAGTCCTGTTCTAGGAATTCATTATGTAGTTCCATACGTTGTATCTAGAAACTTAGCCTGTACTGAAGTCCTATGATGATGGTCTAGCTAGTGAAATACTTTTTCACCACCTCTGCTTCTGTTTTGTTTGTGATTCCAATTAAGACTCTAGGTATTTAAAAGACATCGGACCATAGCACTCTTTAGCGTTTAGCGAACGCCTCAAAGAGCCTACAGACCACCACAGACGGGGCAAAACAGGGCCGATGTTCAGCCGGGGTTGTGGCAAGCGTAATAAGGTACCGCAATCTCGGCCTGGATCAGGAGAAGGAACGGGGGAATTACAGTCAGCAAGAGTCTGACAATTCTTTACCCTAAGTGAGAGAAGTTATTTGATGATTTACCGTCCTCAAAAAATGAACTCTATGATAAACTTAAACATTTTAAACTGCGCTCCATCCTCCTACTTGTTAGTAATATTATTAAGTTTTGCTTTGGATTTTTTATTGGGGAAACTTGGAAACTGGAAACTGATCACATGATGACGATAGGGTAGTTTCCAGCAAGTCAAATTCAGTACTTTTATCGAAATGTCAAAAACGATAATTTTCTATGAATCTTGTATGATATATAGATAGTAGATATAGATGAATAGCACGTTGTGACGTCATAATATTTTAACGTCAAATAGTATACTTATTTATCTTGAGTTAACAATAAAAATACGAATATTAAGTATATCGTAAAATAATGAATGAAGGTATGATTGTTTTTCAGTATTTTTTTAGTTTACTACTTTGAAATAATTTATTTTTGATTGAGGAAACAAGCCAATTGGTGCTGTCCATCGACACCCACATCATTGAGGTGATATAAGAGCGTTGCCAACCTTTTGGGGTTAAGGGATTTGAGCATCAGGAGATTGAAGATTGGACCTCCTTTATTTTATGAAGTTTTAATTTAGAAGCAATGGTTGCTCCTCCTTAGGACTTAACACACACTTCTATAACACAAAACAAGATTTATAATTGAGTATTTTTGGTTTCATATTTTGAATCTTATTCTCACCTACCTACAATTTGAAATGCAAAAACTGGCTCAGTGGTTTAGAGCTAGACTAAAGAACTACCTTGTTTGTTACAGGTCGTCAATGTGTTTAACATTTTGATCATTTTATTAGCTCTTAAAATATATCTTAAATACAATGTTTTCTTCATTACGAGGGACAAGTTGAAACAGATCTTGGCATTTGTCCACGTTTCCTACGAGAATGTTTTGAGACGTGTACTGAGTGTAGCAAGCACCATGATACAAGTACCATGTAACATGATATACCCAGACTGGGAAAACGATTGCACAGCTTTTAGTATTAAATAGTTATAAAATAAGAGTCTTCAAGAAAAAACATACAGCTAGAGTGTTAATTAAAATCATATGGAGGCTGAAATTAAGTCTCGAATTGAGAGTAAGATTTTCTATTACACAAGATCCTAGATTTGTTTTTGGGACAGGACGGCAAACTAATGGACGGATTACCTGATGGTAAGCACCCGCAACAACAAGATGAGTTATGAGTGCGTTGCCCGAACTTTTGAGAATTAGGGTTTTGGGGATTTAAGGATTGATACTCAAGCGCACTCCTCATAGTGAGACAAGGCCTTTGTTCAGCAGTTGGCAGTTATAGGCTGGTGATGTGATGATTAAATAAGATAACTAGCTGTGGTAGGTTTGCTCTTGCGGACCATACCTAGAATTTTGACTAGTGCCAAGGAAGTTTTATAATCACGTGGAACAACGAACAATAATTGTAAGTGATTGTCATATTGTACAGCAGTAGATCGCCTTGCTGCTGCACCGGCCGAAAAACACAGAAACGATATTAAGTTTGTATATGAAAAACTACTTACCAAGCCATACAGTATTGTGTTTACTTTCACAATGTTCAAGTTCAGGTCTTATATGGACATCATCATCGTGATGCCTTGGGGCTTCGAGAGGGAACGTCTCCACACGCCTCTCCAGAGGATCTCTAAGCTGCCATGCAGTCAGCAGTGCCACATCCACTACCAGCAGCCCTCCAACCATCGTGTATAGCTTCCACCCGTGAATGCGCTTTTTCTGTTAGAGAAAATACAAATTTAGATGTTATGTTGTATACGTTAACTTAAATTTTCTTTTGAATATATTTAAATTCAAATTCAAATTTAATTGGCTGCCGTTTGATGTTATAGATTATAAAGTAATATGGATATTTTTATACGGCATTCGTATTATGCTGAATTCATTTAAATAAAAAAATATAATATTTTGATTATTCTACGTCTACTGGACTTACCAAATCTTCTAATAAATATTATTTGGAATCCCTATTAGAAACTGTAGTTCAAATAATCACAAGAATCATTATTTATTTTAACTTTGTTGAAAATACTAACTATGAAGAGGTCTTAAGTTTCCTTCATGTAAGTTCAGTTAAAACAAGTTTTAAACTAAACTTTTCCCATGAACTCAACACTTTATATTTTCAGTAGACTTTTCATTATTGATTAGACAAATACATGGCCAATATTTGAGTTTAACCTGATAGAATAATCCGTGTCTTGTTATACGACTAGAAATAAGAATCGAATACAAGAATTGATATTTGTAGACCAGCGAGGCAGTGAACCGGACATTCTACTTAAACAACAGCTTTTTCAAAATTGGAAGCAGGAAAATCTTTGACGTTACCCAATAAAGTAAATCAGACGTCAGCGATACAATATATTTAAAGATCGCGGCGGCGGGAGCGCCTTGTATCAGCTTCAACAAAATAAAAAATCCGGTTATTTTAAAAAGCTTTTTGTTCGTATTTGCACAAGTACTTCATCGGATGTGATCTCAATAAGTCGTGCAAACTTCAGAGGAGCCAATGAAGTGTGGCATCAACGCAAACATTCGGTATGTAAAGTGGAAAGTGACACAAGACGATCTAATTTCCATTGTATTGTGTATTCGGGTTGAAAGAGTTTTACATTCACGCCTGTCGCGGCCGGATCAGCCTCCTGTAAGATGAATGTGCCACTTTAGTGACATTCCTCTGACGATTACGTCACGTCACACATAATTTATGCGAGCGCTAATATCGAGGGAGTTACGGATGTCACTTTCAAATTTACCCTAATCTAATAAAATATTATAAAATATTTTCGTTTCCACCTCGGCTTCGGTACACGTGTGGAGGTGATACATATAATGTGACAACTAAAATAAACAAGACAGAATAAAATAACTACGGCCATATAATACAATTCGTTTCCTCTGCTTATGTACTTATTTATTGTACTCGTAAACGTTTGAATGTTCCGTAAAACACTCGCTTAGAATTCTACTGCCGAAACCCTCGCGAAGGGAGTTGAACGGAAATTACAATTACCGGGGAGATTACCTTTGTTTCCACTTTGGGTTTAGTCGTATGCCGATGCACTCTCCATACTTTGGTGAACATAGCTCCATATGCCATCGAGAATCCTGTGGCTAGGAGCCAAGCCCGGGCAGCACACAGCCCAGAGAAATGTTGTGGCATCACCCAGCGACCGTCCACGCCCAACGCGATGGCCGCACTCAGGCAGATACAGCAACCACATAACATGACCGTGTTACACGCCGGGTGCGACCACTGAATCACCCTGCACACAACATATTACCATTACACTGCAACATACTAAATCGAACAAAAGTTACGTGCAAACGAACCAACTTTAACGACTGCAGCATTGGTTTCGCTCACGTAATAAAAACCAAAACAAAGTAAGCGCAAAATGGATTCGGAATATCTCCGCTCTGACATTAAAACAGTACGAGACCCGTTGTTCCTTTTCCTTGTGTCATTTTATATTCTTGTAAAATCTTGTTCTATTTTCATTTCCATCGAGAAGCAGCGGAGTAATTCAGAAAGCAATGAAATGTAAAACAAAACTAAATAAAGATGGAGATTCTCAACACTATCGGTGAACAGTCAAAGGGGACCCCCTTTGACTGTTCACTGTGTCGGATCATTTACATTCATCTCATCGTAAATTGCTCGTTTGGCATATAAAACCTCGCCGCGGGGGTAAAACAAAGATCGGCGAGCGACGCAGCCGAGGAACGTGGTTTTCTTTTAGCAACATTTGTGATCAATAAAGAGCTGAGCTTAGATTTTCTAGTTTATAGTGTAGAAAATTGAAAAACGTTTTTCTAATTTTCAAGCTAACTGAATATATGTATGATTTATGAGTAAAAATAATAAGTAATTCCTTTTTAAAATGAATTTACAATTATTTCAGACATATTCCATTAGATCAAGTCGAGCGGGTTGGTTTAAACGGGACCTCTGTCAAAGTCAGACACCAATGAACTCTAGTACTAACCCGAGGCTGGTATTTGACATTGACAAAATATCTAAAGCTAAGAAATATGGTGTTTCTTACCTCCGATGTCTGTGCAGGATGTTGAAGACGATTAGTGCGATGGCGGCGAGGATTCCAGCGATGCAGAGTGCGGTCATGCACGCAAAAAGCGGCAGAGACACGGTCCGTAGCTCGTTAACTACGACGGTACGGTCGGGGGGCACCTTCCCACCTGCCCAAATCCAGAGTTATTTCATGGTTCAGTTGAATACGGGTGACGCTCGTAAAACGCACATAAACCTATTAGCTATAAATAGAAAACGTAGGAAACTTCAAACTATATAATTCAACTTGTTTTTCCTTTTAACGGACGTTTTTCCTTGTTCTTGTAAAAAGAATTTTGCTGCATTGACTCTGCGATAGTAAGTCGGCTATTAAAAGTGGTGGAAACTACTCGCTCAGTCTTTGAGCCCTGAGGCAATGTTAAAGAATTAATAACATTTCCTTTTTTTTGCTTTTGTATGACATTTTTCTATTCGAATGGTAAAGTAGTATTATTTTATGTGACCGTGTTTTATGCTAAATTGTTATAAAAGTTTTATATGATGCTAACAAAAAATGTGTGCTTCCAGATTTGGATACGTACGGTTTTGGCAATAAACGTGACAGCATGAGATTTAAATGGCCGATTTATGGTTTACAAGATAGATTTTGGTAACACACAGTTTAAAATGTTTTAGAAAAACAACAAGCAAACGTTTGATGAACGTTCAAAACTTCGTTATGCCAACGAAGCAAAGTTTTTGATTGATTATATTAGCATTTTCGTAAAGTTTATTTTTCAAACGAAACTTTGTAAGTATTTTGTTTTTTAATATTGTATATCAGTATGCATGTCTCATTATAATACTCATCTAAAATAAGTAGTGAAAATTATACTGATACGCTTATACAAAACATGCGGTGTATTTGCCAAAACGCAACTTGAAATTCTACCAATTCTTAAAAATTATTCTTGATAAGAAAAGTAGGTAAAATCTAATCTATACCTGAACTGAATACTAGTAAGAAACATTTTCAATTTGAATATTGACTCCAAAACAGAACTTTAAAAGGGGTCCTGATTCTTATACTTTAAATATCATTTTCATTTAAATGTTAAGTATATCGAATTCTAAATACGACAACTTTTAAAGGGAAACGTGCAATTAAGATTGAATTTTAAAGTCCTAAATTTACGGAATATATTGGTAAAACAATCGTACTTACCGACCCACCGCTCTCGTTCTAACCACGTCAAGTTATCAGCCTGTGTGTCGTAGTATCCAAGTTTCACGTAATGGTTGTCAGTCAATTGTTCTATCTGAGTCAACGCTATGCGGTCACCTTGGGACGAGAACGCCACCAAACCCTAATGGAAATATAAGTCATATTTAATAACACGAATGAAAAGAGTAAGGCCAAACTTGTTGGCCTGAAGAATGTGAATAAAGGTGTTTATTATAAAGGCCACGTGTTGGTTCATTTTTGGGTTCAAATTATTCGAAATTGTTGATCGTTTTGTCAAATATCATTATAACGTTTCATTGGATTCACAAATACACCATACAAATATGTGGGTATATGGTACACCCTGCTCCGGAATAATAAATTTATTTATCACGCAAATGGTTGTTTCTTGTAAGAATTACTTAAGCCCCAAATAGTACGTGTCACCAAGTTCGGGCAAGTAATTGGTGGCTCATCATTGTACAAACCACATTTACGAAATAATTGTAGCTTCTGCAAGCGGCGTCGCTCGCCCGCGCTACGCGTATTGCCTATGCTTTATTCCAAATTATAATTCATCTCTGTGACATTTCCTATTGTAAATCATTCAGTAGTTTTTGTGCAAAGGACTTCCAAGCATCCATCCTTACTTACAAATTTATATAATAGTAATATGAACTTAAACATAAAAACAACAAGGTGTAATATAGAATAGTTCAATACTATTATTTCAATTTATAATTACCTGAAGTAATGAGTATAATTTAAAGTTTAGACGAAACTTTATAGATTAACAAATTATTTCGTGGCTCGTTAAACTTTCATGTGTTCGCTTATAAGTTGGAAACTATGAAACCTCTGCGATTAGTTGCTCATTTACTGTTTATGATGAGATTGTAAATATGAGTTAATGATAAATTAAATATTAATTGAGAATTTGATCATTTCAATAAATTATTAGGTATGGTTATTAATTTCATTGGGGTCTAATTGTTTTATTGCTGGTCTGGTTCTGTCTTGGGGTCTGGGTTCGACCAGTGAGAAAATCAAAGTGTGGGGCAACATTTTATTAATAAAAAACAATTTGAGAAACAACTCATGACTTCGATTGTTGTAAATGTCACTGCCAAAGGATCTTGAGTAAGGTTTTTTTGGGAAATGATCATATGGCTTCTCTCGCCTAGGGACGGGCGTAGGGAGCGTCAGACTGTTACTGGCTCAAAACCCCCCCGTTTTTTCTCCTGCTCTGGGCCGAGGTCGCGGTGCCTCATTGCGCTTACTTCACAACCCTGGCGGATCTTGAGCAAGATAAGGTGCACCTTAGACTTTTTCTTTTATTTCCATTCTTATCACGGGTCCTAATTATATGTATACAGCTTAGCATTTATGATTATGCAAACTAAACGTGTATACAAAATCGCTGCTTAATATTCTATTGTAGATAACTGCCTCAAAATTTTTTTGTAAGCCAGATATAAGAACAGTTGCAGATAAATAAAAAAAGCCCAAACAATTTGTGTGAAACAATTGAATTGATACCGACGAGGAAGGCACCTAGTTTGTAATTGTGTAATGCTTAACAAATAACTCTTTTTCTTGACTATTTTTATCTAAACGAATTTGTAACAACTGTTCGAGTTAGCGCGATTCTTTTTCTGTAGTGGAAGTTATCTGAAGTTTAATTGCTTTTCTGAAGTTTCGAATAACAACGTTTTTTTTCTTTTATTTGATTTTGATTTTTTCATTATTTTCTTTTTGAGTAAATATTTTGCTATGAACAATGTTTCGTAATATTATTATATTAAGGTTTACAATACAGAGCAGTGTAAATAAATAAAGAATGTTTAATATTTTACTGGCAGCTTCTGTAAGCGGCTTCTCCGGCAGTACCAGTACAGTAGCCTTTATGTTATTTACACATTTACAGTTTATAATCTCTGTGGCAAATGTTTTTCAGATCCATTCTCTAGTTTCTTTTTTCGTAAAAGAGTAACAATCATCCATCTGTACAATAAAACTTACAAGTTTTATAATAGAAGTAGGATTAGTTAAACAGTGTCATTTTGGGAAAAGTATTTGTCTCATTAAATAATTTCTAAATTAAAAACAAAGGATTATACATTCTTTTTTTTTTTTTTTTATAACTCGGCAAACGAGCAGACGGATTACCTGATGGTAAGCAATCAGCGCCGCCCATGGACACTCGCAACGGAGGAGTTACGAGTGCGTTGCCGACTTTTTAGGGATTAGGGATTTGGAGATTTAGGGATTGAGGAGGGATTGGGAAAGGAGAAGGATTGGGCCTCCGGTAACCTCACTCACACGGCGAAACAGAACGCAGTAGTTATTTCACGCCGGTTTTCTGTGAGGCCGTGGTATCACTCCGGTCGAGCCGACCCATTCGTGCCGAAGCATGGCTCTCCCACACTTATATTTATTTCTTACGGATTATTTATTTCCATGTTTACTTACGGAATTTAAATACTTTCTACGATATATTTTGATTTGAAATATGGTGTGATATCACGACTGATTACCGCCACCACCCTGTTTTAAATTTAAATCGGGCTATGTTTCCATAATATTTGATAAGGCAGCAAACGAGCTGATGGATTACCTGATGGTAAGCAATCAGCGCCGCCCATGGACACTCGCAACGGAGGAGTTACGAGTGCGTTGCCGACTTTTTAGGGATTAGGGATTTGGAGATTTAGGGATTGAGGAGGGATTGGGAAAGGAGAAGGATTGGGCCTCCGGTAACCTCACTCACACGGCGAAACAGAACGCAGTGGTTATTTCACGCCGGTTTTCTGTGAGGCCGTGGTATCACTCCGGTCGAGCCGACCCATTCGTGCCGAAGCATGGCTCTCCCACACTTATATTTATTTCTTACGGATTATTTATTTCCATGTTTACTTACGGAATTTAAATACTTTCTACGATATATTTTGATTTGAAATATGGTGTGATATCACGACTGATTACCGCCACCACCCTGTTTTAAATTTAAATCGGGTTATGTTTCCATAATATTTGATAAGGCAGCAAACGAGCTGATGGATTACCTGATGGTAAGCAATTCAGATGTTAAGCAACACGTAACAGCAGCATTTTGGGGATTGCCAAACTTTTGAAGATTTAGGGATTGCGACTAGGGACGATTGTACCTTCGGTTGTTTCACGAGCATTTTCTGTAAGGCAGTGGAATCATTCTGGTCACTTTTTATGTGATTTAGTTTAATTAATCACTTATGAGCGAGGATTGTTTTCTATCTCATGTGCGGCTAATATGTTTTTACTATCTTATAGACAGGCTAATTACATTTTTAATGTTTAAATCTTAATCAAATAGGATGGTAATTGAGCGTAATGAACTTAATAGAAGTGGCCTCATGTATATGCCTGGCGGCGGTTTGACGAAATTAGAGTAAGGTTCCCCGCAAACTGGTAACTTTAAATCGACCGATCCGTTTAGTAGATGTGTAAAATAAATATGTATGTACACATGTACGTTCAGCTTATGTTCCGCGTTTTATTTTATTTTCATCTACTGTTTACGTTTTTCAGTAAATTCGTCAAAATTTTCAAATCAAATCAAATCAAATCAAATTCTTTATTTCAAATAGACCAAAAAAGGCACTTTTGAACGTCAAGCAAAAAATATATCATAAGGTTTAACTTTATATGTGTCAGTCTGTCCGTCTGTCCTCTAGTGAAGCTATTTGCTCGTTCCAATGTGTAGATTCCTATGGAGAAGTACGAGCAAGAAACTCCATGGTTACTCTTTTCAATCACTTTTTACAATGCATTGTTACATAATTTAGATAGTTCTATTATGTGAGAACAGTGTAACACTAGTGTTTAACCAAAGGATCCGAAAAAGAAATGAACCTCAGGGACAGCAACTTTAGACAGTCTCGAGTTGACCAGTCCCAATAGGCGGCGTCCGTTCACGCACATGACACGTACACCAGCACCGCCCAACTCAACCATATTATAGGGAACCGAGCGGTCCAGTACCCGTGCCACCGCCAATGAGACTCCTGAGTGAGCATGACAACTCCCAACTGACACAAGTACCAATATACTATAAGTCTATAAGTCTAACTCTATAATAAGTTACAGGGCTCTCACATTTACAAAAATCCAGTTTATCAACAATTAACAACATGGTGAATAATTTAATAATTGACATCAAAATTCCTCTTAACCTTAACAATTTTTATCCTGTGCAGTCAAACCAGCCACCCTCCAAGCATTTTTATCTTCTATATAATCGTTTAGTTTGTAGTATTCTTTCCTACATAATACTTTCTTTATACATAATTTAAATTTACTTTCATTTCACCCTTAAAATGGTTGCCCTGACTGTAGTAGTGAACGCGACGAAAAATATCATCCAATTTTGTCCAGTAATTCAGAAGTTTTGAGCAACAATAAAAATGTAGTGGTATTTTATTTTTATTAGTACCTATCTGTTTCGACGAAAATTGTACCGACCAATGTAAAATATGTCAAAATGTACGCGAAATTGTATTTTTCTTTATAATCGTTTTTTTCTGATTTTTTTGTGGTACAAATAAATTTAAACAAATAAATATGACTTCACATGATTAAAAAAAATGATTTTAATAAGGAGTATTAAAGTAAATGTAACTTGCCGTGAAACACTTTTTCAATAAAAAATATGATAAATTAGTGTGTAAATCGAACAACCAAAACTCAATACTTTGCTGAATCAGAAACCAAAATATTTCTGTCTCTACAAACCGCTTTCAAAAGACAAAGACAGACACTTAAGTGCAAGTTCAAATTAAGTGTCGTTTGAAAATTCAGGGAGTGTTTTAATTTATGTAAGAAACTCCAAATCTACTCCTTCATTAATGATTGAAATGAAGAGGATTTAAAACGTACTATTGTGCTGGTTTGAGGTAACGACGGAAATTGGTTTTAATTATTAAATTTTCAACTTTATAATTATCAAATTTAAGGCTGAAAATTCATTTGAGAAATTGACGACTTGGCGACCGATTTTTGTCGTTATCATTGTCTTGACTACCGGTCCTTCTGTATTTAGGTATATATAATCTATTGCTCTTAATTTGAAGAAGATTAAACGATTTGATCAAAGTTAAAACAAAATGGTGGTTGTGCTTGGTTTTGACTGCCATTTTTAAGTCAAAGGCCTGTTTTCTTTGGCTCTAAAGATGCTCTACGACTGGCTTTTACTACTGACACCTTCACCAATAGGTCTTTTTGAAGACAAAACATAAAACTTTAATCTTTTTTATGGTTATAAAAATAACGACTTATTCACGTGATTAAACTGAAAAAAACTCTTCTAGTTTCAAAAAAACAACGGGACTCTTATTCAAGAACAGCGTCCGTATCGCTGTGACGTCACGGTTTTCTCAGTGTACGTAAGTTATTTTCAACAACTTACAATTAAATAGTTATTAATTATACAAAAATAAATGATTATGTTTGTAAGCATTATATTAGTATTACGTGATTTATCGAGTTAACCAATAATAAAAGTGTACTTAAGTTACAATGCAACTGATAGCAGTACTCACCGATACACCGAGAAATGACGTCGAGTTTATTGCCTCGTAAATGTCATCAGCAATTTTCTTGTTAGTATACGTGAAGTTCTTCAGACTAAGCCCGCTTTTCTCAAGTTTCTCCATAGTTTTGTTGAACGCTGGTGACAAAAAAAAATATTAGTTTATTTAGTAAAATGCTACATCATCATTATCATAAGGAATCAATCGAAAGAAGTGACAATGGCTGAATATTTGATTTTTTTATTTCAGGAATGCGTCGACCTATGTACCATCTGTGTGACCTCCTGGTTTGGTCTATCGTTAGGAGAGGGATTTATCGTAATCCTTCTATTGTCAAGTGTCGTGGGTATCATAGTTAGGTCTCCGAAAACTTGGAGGATTCTCAGCCAGACCCATATTGCCGGTCGCTATATAATAGTACTAGGATATGCCTGGGTCACAGTCGAGAATAAGTTGTCTTTTATGCAGCTCCTTTGTGTTTGTTTGGCCACAATAGTGAGTCATATGTCAGGCAAAAAACAAATACATAGTCAGTATTTTCTAAGGCCAGCCAAGTTCTTGTTTCAAATTAATTGTTACAACAAATTGCTTTATTACTCAATCCTATAAATGAATCAATGATACAGTTTTTACTTTATACAAAATTTCTATGCCGCGCAAAAATCTATTTACATACATATCAAATTTCATATAATCCGCCGAGCATTTTTTTACATCAAAATAACAAATGTCCTCGAGAGCTTTCGTTTACATTTTTTGCTTGATTCGTTTAGCACGGTTGTGGGATGATACTTGTTGGGCAAACGCCTTTATGTTTTGTCCGTGTATTTAAGTGTCGACCTTTTGTATGTCACTGCTAGGGATGATACCGCGCATAAATTTGGAATTATCTCGGAGTCTTGGTGACAGTTGTGTGAATTGTGGCTTTGACTTTGTGCTACTAAGGCTAGGGTTGCCACTGGCTGCTTTATGGGGTGTAATGATGTGTTTCGGTTGTCGGTAGATATTGATATTTTAAGACGTTATCGCTTAATCGTCTCGGCTTTAGACATATAACATTATAAAATGACAAACTAAAATAAGATTAGGCATTAGGTATTTTATGTGTAACAATTATTTTTATTTGTGGTAGCTATCTAGGTAATGAAATAAAATAAACATTGTCGTGGTTTAATCATTGACTTATTAGAATTTTTAGATTGCGAAAGTTACAACCCTGTGACAAACATATGAGTGAACGGGCTGACAAGCTGCGGATTGCTAAGTCTGGGGAATAAAGGCTAAAACTAGACTTTTTGGTTTGAAACTCCATTAAACAGTGAGTTTGTCGGCATAGAGCTCTTAAAATATCACTCAAAATGTTCACGAGTGATATCGCTACGAGCTACACAGATCATTCGTAGCGCCGTAGCGCGTAGCACGCGTAGTCACGCGCCTACGCGTGTTATATCACATTATTAGGATATCACATTATCTATTACATTATGACATTATTGAACTTATTACACATTCATGGTCGTATAATAATGCCATCGTCACATGTGACAAGTGATCATGCAGCTTATAGTGGAACAATATTGATAACTGAAATTAGAGACCACTTCGTATTTTAATTTTTAAAACGGTTATTTTGGTTGTCATATGAGAACATGTTTGGTAAAGATTGATAACAATTATACTATTTTTTTATTCGTGGTGACTTTGTTTACATAAAATCACGCGTTTACAAATAAAAAAATATAATAAACGTTTTGCCAGCAGCGTGGCGGTATTTCATTATATCCAAATGGCACTTCGTTAGTTGGTATTCCGATGCTCGGAATCGAATGAAATCGTTAAAATGGACCGGTTACAAATAACCGGGAAATAAAACTAACAAGCTGTACTCGAGAGAATCGAATTATATAAAACAGAAGATCGAAAGTGGTAACTATTTTATTAAGGCAAGGTTCTTCTAGCAAAAATACACTTGCTGTTTTTGTTGTTATATTACCTATATATTGTATTTATTATTCAGGATATGTCGGCTATTGTTGATGTCGTGGTGATGCAGTGGTTAAGACAAAGTGGTTCTCACGAATAAAGGTAATTTTAACATGAAAATCACCCATATGACTTCTCTCGAATAATTTTTACTTTTGTAGATTATTATGACACCACAGACAAACGGACAAGGGAAACATAGTGAGAAAACTGGGACTTATAATTTATAGCTGCTCTCGCGCTTTTCCACCCGCTGCTTGGCTCTTACTGGGAAAGTAGCGCGACTTTTTATAGCCTTATAGCCTTCCTCGATAAGTGGACTAACAAATACACAAGGAATTGTTAAATTTCAGCCAGTCGTTCTTGAGATGAGGACGTTCAAACAAACAAACAAACTCGTTTGAAATCGCCAAACTACCTTTAGCTAGCGTGGTGAATAATGCTCATGCTTTCCCCGAGTGAGAAGAGGCCTTTGCTCAGGAGTGGGGATTTATAAGCTGATAATGATGATGGGCTATTGATAGAAATTCTACTTTGAAGTGATGGTAGAGTTGAATCCAATAAATCTTTTACGCCCACTGTTAGTGCGGGTGTCATTTCGGATGTTTAGGATGGTAAAAATTCTCTGTGTAATGTGTCATTTCTTTACTATGTGCCTGCTGCGACGAGATGAATATGAAGTAGAGCAACGAGATGCTTTTTAGTCAGTAAGACACACCTTTCGTTACGACATAGTGATTGACCCCGCTCAAAAATAAAATGCCCTTTTACGAATATAATTATTATTATTCAGTGTTTCAATTGACTATCCAATTTCGCAATGACAATTTCAGTCTGTAGTATTTATAAGCACGGCGTCTTATCACAGCTAGTTTAACCAACACAAGCAAAGAAAAACGTGTTGCGAGTTGTCAATTGTTATGGTGTGCCACACGTATGGCGCGCTGTGTTGGCACGTAATGTAGGACGTGACGGGTGGCGCCATCTATTGTACTCCCCGAGCACTACACTTGTTAAATTTTATTACGAACATTAGACCTGTCTCTCGATGCTTTCCACAGTTGTTTGAGCATTCTAATACGTGTATTTATTTCGAATTGTATTGTGGATCGGGCAATAGTCCATAGTATAATGTTATTACTACAAGACTATAACTTTTAAGATCCTATTTTCTATTTATCTGTACAATAAAAACGTTTGACAAACTGCTGCAAATAATTCCCATAATAATCTTTTAGTCGCCAAGTTACGAAACAACTCCAGGCCAAGCGATTTTGTTATTTTTATCAAATTAAGCAATTATTTAATATTATGGACGATAATAAATTCATAGAACGATGATCTTTATAGTTTTATTGCGTGATCAAACGATAAACAACCTTCTACATTAGCGATGAGACGATCAATTTATTTTTTGACTATCACTAAAATATGTAACGTTATTTCCAGTACCATGTACCTACTTTATTACAAACAAAGCAAATAGAATAAAACTTACGACCAAAGAAAATTGATAAAAAAAGCATGAGGACACTTGATAATCGACCATCTTAGAAGCCTGAAGCGAAACAATACTAAGGCCTTAGATATCTAAAAAGTTTTTCTTATAAGCTACTTGTACATAAAATCGGAGTACGTACCCAAAGCGACGGCCCAAACAGCGTCGTAGGCCAAGGGTGCCTCTTGATATCCCTCCGGATATCTCTCGCCGTCGATGTCGTAGCCAGCTTCGCGCAAAGCCTCATTCAGCCTCGATCTGTTTAGATAAAACATTGTTTTTGTTGTACCAAATCAGACGGCCTACTTCCAAAGGAAATACAAAACAAGGATTCAGGATTTTGTTTGATTACACTGTTTTTTTTTGTTATCATTAACTCGGTATCGTGTTACATTGGAAAAACAAAAGAAAACGCTGTGTTCTTCCAATAAAAATGGTGCTTCATTTGTTTCGGGGAGTTTGTTTTTTTAATTAAATAAACGAACGCGTAGTAGGGACTTGTTGTTAATGGGATTCCAGGTTTAATATTGGGCACTAATGATTACCCGCATTATCAAATTTCATCCAAAAAGTACAATCCAATGAACATTCTCAATTACATGTTGTGTTTCGATGGCTGTGAATGTGAATTCTGCACATGGTTTAGACAGGTTAATATTATTTTGGATGTTAGTCAATTGCAAAATGGCTAAGCTTACAACAATGGCTTTTATTACTGACTTAAAATGAAGAGTGTATATCGAAAAAATGCCCCTAAAATAATATTGGTAAATAAAAAATGTTACATAATTTAATTTATTCTACAAATAGCTAGCAAGATATTTTTAAGTAAGACTTATTCCATTTGATTAGAGCCGAGCCTTTGAAATTTAAATTGGCAACAAATAGACATTTATAAATTGAATTTTGCTAAAAATATTTGTAGTACGTGAGCTGTAGTTATTTCACGTTTTAGGATCGGACTTACTTGAACCCGTTTTGACTACAATTTGGATTTATGAAATGGGCACATAAATTGTACGAAATCTTGCAATAAGCGAAAGGAGATAAAATACTTCTTAATTCAATATTGATACTACGCCACTATACACATAGATGATATAATTTCTAGTTTATAAATGTTCCGGTTCATTTTGACTTATAAAAAACAAGACTTCGGCAATGGACTGACATGATTTGTTCCTAATAATTATGATGCAGATAACAATTGTGTAATGAGTGTGACGTGGTGGCACAGAGGTTAAGGCACCGGCTTCTCATGTGTCAGGTTGCGAATTCCAATCCTGACAAGTACCAGACGCACTTATTCCGAGTTAGATGAACTTTCTATGATTATTTAGACACCACTGACATACCTACTGGAACCTACCTGGAATATAATTAATAAAGAAACAGGTAGAAATAAATCACAAAACACTGAATTTAATTTAAAAACCGAAAAGGGATATACTAGTTCAAATTCGTCAGTTGCCCAGGAATTCGAAAGATTCTTTAAAAATATTCCTCTTAAAACTACGGAAACGTTAAAATCATCTCCAGCACTGTGTCGAGCTTCTCAGGGGTAACGTCAAAGAATGTCCTTCTGACTTTAGCTTTCAATACACAACCCCCCAGGCAGTAATAAAGGCGTTCAATGAGATCAAAGTGAAGTCAACTGAAGATCTTTGGGGAATGTCTGTTCGAGTGTGCAGGTCGTTTATAGAGACAATTGCGCCGAACTTAACGTTCATTTTTAATAAAAGTGTAGATCAAGGGGTTTTCCCGGATTTAATGAAACATAGTAAAGTAGTTCCATTATTTAAATCAGGTGATAGTACAGAACCTAATAACTATAGGCCGGTCTCTATTTTGCCAGTGCTCAGTAAAGTGTTCGAAAGGTTGATGCTTACTCAAATGCTGCGTCACTTTAACACGAATTCTATTTTCCATGACCATCAATACGGGTTCACCAAAGGACGTTGCACTACGGACACAGGAGTATCACTTATAAAACAAGTTTTCAACTCGTGGGAAAAAGCACAGGATGCCATCGGAATATTTTGTGACCTTTCAAAGGCATTCGACTGTGTTGAGCACGAGACGCTGTTACTGAAGCTAGAACACTACGGCATTCGGGGGGTATCCCTAGATTTATTGAAATCATACCTTCAAGAAAGAAAAATTAAAGTACAAGTCAACAAAGTTAACTCACTGGGTGCTAGCGTATGTATGGGCGTACCGCAGGGCTCAATATTAGGTCCTTTTCTATTTTTAGTTTATGTAAATGACCTGCCCCATATGTTCCAAAATGAACCGCATATGGTATTATTCGCTGATGACACTTCATTGATTTTTAAAATAAATAGACGAACAAACAAATATGACGAAGTTAATAACGCCTTAATGAAGGTTCAAAATTGGTTTACAATAAACAACCTATTACTAAATGATAAAAAGACTAAATGCATTAGATTTATTTTACCAAATGTTAAAAGTAATGTATGTGATGATATATTATTAAATGATCAGAAACTAGAATTTGTAAAAGAGACTACTTTCCTGGGGATCACTGTAGATGAGAAGTTGCAATGGGGGCCCCACATCAGGTCTCTAGCAGGACGATTGAGCTCTGCAGCTTATGCTGTCTGGAAGATCCGTCAGCTAACCGATGTAGGCACGGCAAGACTAGTGTACTTTAGCTACTTTCATAGCATCATGTCGTATGGAATTCTGTTGTGGGGACAGGCATCTGACGTTGAGTCTATCTTTATCTTGCAAAAGCGTGCCGTCAGAGCTATATATAACTTAGGTCGTCGCGAATCTCTCAGAGAAAAGTTTAAGGAGATCAACATTCTGACCGTACCGAGTCAATTTATTTATGAAAACATTATGTATGTTAGGAAAAACCTACACTTATTTGTAAAGGTATCTGACAAACATGATTATCATACTAGACATAGGAATAGATTGAGTCAGCCTTTATTTAGATTGGCAAAAGTGCATAAATCATTCCTGGGTTTCTGTGTTAAATGTTATAATAAAATCCCAGTTGAAATTCAAAATCTAAATGAAAGCAAATTCAAATTATGTATAAAGAAACATTTATGTAAACTAGCATACTACAAAGTAAATGATTATATACAAGATAAAAATGCTTGGAGGCTAGCTGGTCCTACTCCACAGGATGTTTAGAGGAATTTTTGATTTTAATTATTAATTTGTACACTATGTTGTTAATTGTTGATGATCTTCTAAGTTTTTGTAAATGTGAGTGCCCTGTAACCTATTATAATTAAGTAAGACTTGTAGAATATAGGTACTTGTGTCGGCTGGGAGCTGTCATGCTCACTCAGAGGTCTCATTGGCGGTGGCACGGGCACTGGATCGCCCAATTCCCTATAATATGGTTGAGTTGGGCGGTGCTGGTGTACGTGTCATGTTCGTGAACGGGCGCCGCCTATTGGGGACTGGTCAGCTCCAGGCTGTCTAATTATGTTGTCCTTGAGGTTCACTTCTTTTTCGTACTTTTTGCCTGAACATTAGTGTTACATTGTTCTCACATATCAGAACCGACTAAATGATGTAACAAAGAAATGTATTGTAAAACTGATTGAAAAAGAGTAACCATGGAGTTTCTTGCTCGTTCTTCTCCATAGGAATCTACACTTTGGAACGAGCAAATAGCTTCACTAGAGGACAGACGGACAGACTGACACGCTTAATTTTAAAGCTCTTGTTATATACTTTTTTTCCTTTTTTGCTTGCTTGACGTTCAAAAGTGCCTACTGTGGTCTAATTGAAATAAATGATTTTTGACTTTGACTTTGACTATACGGTGGAGGAAAAGATCATGAAGAAACCTGAACTTAAAATCTATTATAAGTTTGGAATCGCAATCTGCCTTAAGCAAGCGTGGTGATTAATGTTTAAACCTTCTCCGTGTAAGAAGGGGCATTTGCTCAACAGTCAACCTATAGGACGATGAAGAAGAATTAGAGATTACGATTGCCTTCTGTTTAATGATAGTAAGCAAAGATGTAAAACAATTGGAATTGTATATACGCGCAATAAGGCACCGTGGCCTCAGAGAAGGGGGGTTTTTAGTCAGTCAGAATCTGACATCCCCTCTCCTCACCTTGGACAAGAGAAGACATTCATGATGATTTCTCACATCTGAAAAAATATGTAAGTATGTAGATGACTCTACGTTGTCATCCTATGCTTCACACAAAACTAGTTACAGCTAAATATAAATACATGACCGCGTAAAAAGTCTGTGGTAGTACGTAATGTGAATTCAAAACAGCACTCTAGGGGCCTAGAAATATGAGTGGTTACACAATACAACGATATTACAGTTGCAATGACGTAGTGTATACGTATTCGTATATTTTGTTCGCTTAGCAACAGCGATGAAAAGCTTATTGCAGTGAAACCCGGTGAGAGACCGACAGTACTTAGCTTTGTTTAGAAGAAGTATGGCGGCGTTCTTTCTTTTACTTTTTCTAAGAAGTGTGTTGCAAAGGATACGAGGATTGGTAGCTGCTAGCTTTGAAATATTAAGTGCAAACGTATGATGTAAGAGTAAGAACATCCCACGAGCCGTTTGGCTCCAATTTCATGAAGATGGAACGCGTTTTGCTTGAGTCTAAATTAAAAGTCGTGTCAAAAGTAAAATGGGTTTATTGCTGCGTCTTTTTTCTAGTCTAAACTATAAAAACGTCGGAGTTTAAGAGGAATGGTGGGGAATTATTGGCTACTCTTATTTGAAACTTTAAAGCTGAGTTTAGTTCATGACTTAGGCATAAACACATGCGTATTATGAAAAAATATGCCTTATTAACATTAGTCCATTAATTACTCTGGGTTGCATATTGATTGAAACTTAATAATAAAATGTAGCAAATATTAAGAGTGAATTATTTTTAATAAGGTCGGTTACTCGATCGAGAGAAAGAATTGATATTCTGCCTCAAGAATATATTGTTATACATTATTTTGTATTCAGCCCATTAATTCTCGCCGCACAGGCACGCCTATATAGAGTTCATATATAAGAGGATTTGGCGGGAATTTTGAGAGAAGCCTCAGCTTAGCTTTTAGCTAAACAGAAAATGATAATACAGCGAATACGGTAGGTGTTCTTGAGCGTTTTAAAAGGTCTGTTTAAGGTCAACGGTCAGGATTGTATTTTATTATATTGTGTTCCTTTTTGCTGTCTGATCAGTGATCAGTCAGTTGTACGGTCCAAAGACCGTAATCAATTGTTGGGTATTTGTTTTATAAGAAAATAGTTGAGCCAACGCTTTGTTTCAAGTTATAAATCAGTATAGTTTTATTTAAAATTCACACATTAAAGCGTCACTATTTAAACGCCACAGTTTACATACACGCGTATGCATAAATAGGGTTTACAATATTAGAAAACTTAGTTGAATAATATGGGCGTACAATTTATTCACGTACTTTCTTATTCAACTAAATAAAACTTACCTGTGTAACACGATAGCAACGAGTCAGATAACTTTAAAGTGATAATGTAAGTCTGTGAAGCTCTAACATTTCTAAAAGAATAATTGCTCTCAGTGCAGCAGGTACCTCATTACGTACGAGGGTCGGCTTTCGCCACCGTCTCCAGCTCCTTATTAGAACTTTTCTATTTCATCACAAAGGAACACCCTGAAACGTACGCGAACAACTCACTACGAAGAGTTTCCACCGCTTTATATTCCTACATTTTTTACACCATTCCAAGCAATTACTATGCTAATGTTCACTGAAGCATATTTTATTATCTTTGGGGAGTACAAAGGATATCGAAAAATACACGAGGAAAGTTAACGCAGATATGACAATAAAGTCCCGACGCAATTCGTGGTAGGTATCACATTTATCTGTAGGCATTGCTCTTGAAGTGTCGCCTCGACGACGAACGGATAGAATGTAATGTTTTACTGCATTAAGCCTTTTTTTCTGCGTGTATTTATACTTTTTTGTATTCCACTGGTTCAGAAGTCTCCATAGGTATTTAGAAAAATTTCAAAGGAAATTATTGTCACGCACATGACGGATGAATGTCTCCAAGAATAACAAGATTGTCGGAATATTTGAGATGAAAATGGATTTGTTTTTCTCTTCCTTTAAAGGATACCAACTGCCTGAATAAATATATTGAATATTTTATTTATTCTATCGAGGCAATATTTCAGAGCTATTTTTATTAGTCTCCTAGCTTATGTTTGTGTTTATACTAGTGTCATGTTTGTATAGTTGAAATTACTTACCGAAAGTCTTCTGACGTCATTCCAGAGATGGTAGTCTGGTTGGAGTTCTGGTTCCACATGAGAGCTTCTGTCGTAAGGTGACCCTCGGCAGCTTCTCGCATTTGTTCCGGTGAGCAGTCAATACCTTCTTTCTCTAAGTTTGTTTCGAACCAGTTGTCTTCGTACCAACCTGGTAAAACAATCGAGTCATGATACAGTAAATAATATTACAAAAGTGTTAAGTTGATTCAGGCAAAGCCTCATTTTCCAGTCGTTATCTACAAAAACGCAAACATAAAAGTTATACAAATTAACAGATTAACAAGAAAACTACCTCAATTTTACTTTTTAAACATTTCATGATCTGAACTTTGACCATTAAACGGTAGCCACGGTTCTTATAGTCGCATTGGGGAAATTCATTAATTTATGTAATTACTTAGGCAAAGGAGTTCTCTTAATCCTAAGGAAATCATTACTTAAGCAGCTGATTCATTTAATTAAGTGAGGCTACGTAGATGGAACATATTGGTGTTACTTGTAACAAGTTCCCAATCAGCTATTGAGTACGATCGGTAACAAAAGTAGGTTAATTTCGCCCAAACTTTTCGATGAGAATTTATGAATGTAAACTTTGTAATTATTACTTGTTCTAACAAATTAATGAGAATACTTTGGGGACTTGTTATTATATACACACGATATATTGGTTATTAATAATATCAAACCAATTGAGTTTCCAAAATAAACGAATCTTGTGCTGGCCTTCAGTTATCAAGAATGAGAGAGTTAGCGTTAGCAGTAAAGTATAACTCCGTCTCTTTCTACGACAACAGAGTAATAAAATCATGTTAGTACATAATCCGGCCCTTGAACGTATATATTTAGTAAGTTTTGGGGAATGTGCGTTCCAAGGCTGGCCAATAGGCCCTCGGGTCACGACGTCAACATCACTTCTCATCTGATCCCTACAACGGAGAATTGAGAATTATCTGCAACAATGTCAGAATTCACATTGTTTATTATACGGCCATTGGAAACTTTTGGACCCTTTTTAGGAGGTTTGATATTTGAAATAGTTCTAATTTGTATCGGGACAGAATTGAGAAAAAGGAATTGTGTTTCGTTTATTGTAAATAGATCCAATAGTTGGTATCATGGAATTAGGTTAAAAAATATGTATACAAGACTTTTCAATGAGATAATTTTTCAATAAGTCTTTGTATAAGTGTAGTTTCAGTTTTTTTGTGTTAATTCATTACATTGTTGGTGATCCAATGTTGATCTGTTGTATTTTGAGCGGACTACATAGATAAATGAGGATATTTGTGAGACTGTATTGTATCGTAAATTGATTGTTTCTATTGAGTGTTCTATCACTACTTAAGAGGATCTGTCGAGCTTTTTATAAACTTGGCTTTTATATACGGACCGATGAACAATCCAGTATCCACTTACAATCGTTTTCGCATCGAGAACGATCGCGAAAAACTTCACAAAAACACGGATATAATGATAAAAACGTGACAGGCTAAACCTCAATTAGGGTGATCAATAAAACCACGTTCCTTTGAAGATAAAAAATGGAAAAAATAATGTTGAACAATGAAAAAAAAATCTGCGAAAATTTGTTTTAAATGATCTCCCTATTAAATAAAAATGTCGAAAGATATTTGAGTGTCGATGCAGACTCGGTTCATTGCGTAAAGATCAATTCATTAGCTGGACCGTTAGTGTGAAAATATGAATGACGCAAATTATCATAATGCCAATTATTTATTCAAGAATAAGCGGGAAATTATGTTCCTTTATTTAGCGTTCACGTTGGAGCTCACCCTCGGCCATTATTTATCTCCTTTCTCTATCCATTTCCTTTGTCCTGTTTGTTGGAACAAATGTATGTTTGCTGTGTCATCTCGGCTTTGCTTCGAGTTATGTATTTCCATGAAAGTCGAGCTAAATGTTTTTGAGTGGCAATATAACTTTTTCATACTTCTTATAACATTTCAAATTACGTCATAAAAGAGACTTGTCTTCGTTCTAAATTTTCCTACTCGCTCAAAGTTTTGACCCGACGGCGGTTTTATTTGTTTGTGACAAATAAGGTTTTAAACAACATTTCTTTTTCTTTTTATTCTGTGGCTGAGTTTATTAGCGCTTTTTATCAGTAGGTACAAGTTTAAATTCAGAACAAGTTATTTATTTTTTTACTTTGTTGACGTAGTACTTTCTACATTTATGCAGAAGCACACCCACAGTATTAATATTATATACGTATAGTCGGTTGAGTGAAACGATTCACGATTTAATTAATTTCAGATATATGGACATGTTTTAAATTGAAAATAAATGTATGTAATGTACACCATTTTAATATACTAAACTTCAACCTTAAGTTTAACCTTAAGTTTAGTACATTAAAATGGTAAAGTTTTATATTTTATATTTTTAGCTAGATCATGTAAGATAAAGCATAACATTTTTGCGAACACGGAACTCATATTTCGTCCAAGTTGGGGAACGTGTCGATTATTTTTATATGAAGTGATCTCTTAGTGGGATATTTTATGCCGCAATAAAGTTTTATTACGGAAGAGAAAAGATTCTCGGAGCCTATATTAAGGCCAACCGGACGTTGATAACCTGCCGAACTTGGGCTGACGTACCTTTGGCAGGACGCCAATAAGCTAGCCGCACAAGTGTGTACACTTATCTACTGAGCCTCGAGACCCACCTTGAACTAATTTGGCCCTCTGTTCACGGCGAGTGTACATAAATATGTTGACTTGAAACGTCGCCGAATTATAATTCCGAGGCACGCTCTACTCATTATTGGGAGTACAACGCTGCCAATGTAGGCGTGAATATACCTCATTATACTAAATCAATGTGGACACAGGAGAGGAATGTAAATGCTCCCAAATTGGATACATTAATGAGAATTGATTCAGAAGACAATCACCGAAACGGGCGTCAGGACGCGGCTGCTGCGGCGGCTCGCTATCATGAATACGCAAATGGGAGTTTATTGCGAGTGTTTCATTATATTTTAGGGTAAATATTTAAACCAGGCCAAAACAAAGCTTTTATCCTACAGCCTCGTTGGAGTCGTGCTTGCTGACTGTCGTCCCCTGCGACGAGGGCCTATATGAATAAATTAAATAAAACACATAAATTGACCAAAAACTGCTTTCCCAGCGAACGAACTTGGGAAGCCGTTAAGCAAACTTTTTAAATCGAGTTGACACATTAGAACGAGTACGCTCGCAGAATTTTCGGTTACAAAACCACTTTTAGATTGTTCCAAACGTGGCTGTTACTAAATACTAAACTTTATTTTATGTTGGGTAATTGCGTTTTGCTTCGTTATAAGTACGTACATACTAGATTAACTGGATAAACTTTGCCGAGGAAGGTAAACTTACTTTTTAACTAATTTTTTAGGTACAAGCGGTTAATAGCATTGGTTTTCTCTTTCATCTAATTACTATTTAAACGCGTGCAGGATCATTAAAAGGAGTTTATTAACACGTTACCTAAAATATTGCTAAATGATCCATTGAAATCGTTATTACTTTCTCGACTCCAGGGTCGCTGTTTTTTATCGTTTACCTGGATGAATAAAACATTTTCACTTTACGAAATTAAATACTTCGGGGCTATGTTATTAACTATAATAGTCCCATTAGCTGGGTACTGACCCAAGGGTTTTGTTTTCAAAATCCATCGTTTCCAACTAGCCTCCAAGAAGGAGTCATTCCTCAAAATATCCATTCTCTCATTTTATTGTACTCTCGAGTGTCGTTAACGACCGCTCTTCCTCAGTTCTTCACTTTATCTAAGATTTTTTCCACTTCCATTACTGTCGCAGCCTGTGGTTTATCCTCGAGGGATTCATTCGAGAAATTCATTAATAAATATCTCGTTAGACACTAGCACTTATTTACAGGGCGGCAACTAAATAGTTAAATGAAAAAAGGTTTTCATGTTGTTGCTAAGCACATTAAAAATGTTTTTATCTGAATATCGAGATATAGATTAATTAACACGTATTTTTACACGAGTTGTTTATGGATGATGATGATGATGATGATGATGAGGATGTTGTTTCGAATTGCTTTAATGTGTTTCAATTCTATTTAAAAGATAAGAGATAAACATCAGTTTTAAGATTAAAGTATTTTGTTTAACTAAAAGACAGTGTCACATTTAAATCACTTGCTAGATTAGCAAGAAATTTTGATTAATGTAAAAACGGAATATCATTTCGTCTGTCCCAAATGTAATAATTTTAGTATAACATGTTCCATGAATATTATTTCTAAGGCGTAGCCTGAGGCATTTTTATTAGCTGGAATATTAATACTTATTACAAAAAACTAGGTAAGTAGGCAGGCTACATTTACGTTATTACATTTTCGAGAAAGCTTATTTCTTTTTATCCTTCTTCATAAACAATGTCTAAATGAGTTGTATCCGCGACAGCGAATGTTGCCACTCTCAAATTATTTCTTTCGTAATATTGCCCACAATAAAATTTATAACGCTATGACTTATGCGGGTTTTGTTCGTTTTAATGATCTGCTGGGATTCTATCCTCATTTTGACATTTATGAGTTCTAGAAATGTATTTGAATTTTTAAAAGGTATTTTCGAAGGTGTTTTTAATGTATGTAAAATGTGCCATGGTCACAAATCGATGCATAAGTATTGTGATTGTTGTAATTTTGTTTCAATCGCGTGCAACGATTGTTTTTATATCGATTTTTCTTGTGTTAAGCTGTGGTTTCTAGGTTTTTGTCGATCAGGATACATACCTAAAAATAAACACAAGTAAATCAAAATTCCATTGTTATTCTTTTTAATAAGTTTATTTCCTTCACAATTTATGTGTTTACTTTGAATAATCCTCACGACATCAATAAAACTCTTTTGTTACGCAGTTACGCATTTGTGGCGGTTATGGCACGTTCAGAACCGTTAGGCGGCTGAGTTTCATATTTCACTTTCCAAATTACTTTTGGAACATAAAAGAAACAAAGTGAGAAAAGGTAAAATATATGAGCTGGACAAAATATACGTTTGCGTCGCACTTATTTCACGCCGAATGCAAACCGTGAGCAGTTTCCTTCAAAAAGAATTATTACGGTTCTAGAACCCCTAACAATGTGGAAATCTGAAGGAAATTCTTTAAAGTTTTATTTTTTACAATCACTATTTTAAACAAAGTTGGAAAAATATGTTTTGATAAATTGCAGTTCTTTGAGTCGAATATATTTTCGCTTTGAACGCGCTCTATACTTTGTCGGAAAATTTTAAAAGAGCTGTAAAGTATAGAACCTCACTAAAACTGGGAATCTCCGTGTGTGGGGTGCAATTTCAATTTCAGCGAAAATGTAAACTGTATTGCGGCATTGGTTTTACTGGGAATAGAGGAAATAACACGTTAGTAAATAGGATTGCTATGGCAACTATACCTATATATTGGACTCGATACCTTAACTTGAGTTTTTCTTAAAGATTCATTACTTTAGGTGTTCTGAATCTAGTTGATCGTGAGTATATTCCAAATGTAAACATTCCGTTACCACTTTCAAAACAAATATACGAAGTTAGGCACACGATACATGTTATATAGCCAGGAAATAACTATAGTCACATGTTGCAAATATTGTGTGAAGTTTGGACGCTCCTGTAGTCACAAGGGAGGCTGACTTGTGTACTCATATTATGAAATTATAATACTGTCGCTTCGTGTTGGAGTTCCCATGAAAAAGGATGATCTTTCGCTTATGTGTCAGTGCCCGGAGACCGGGTTTTCGGATAATGTTATTTACGGATTTACCTCCAAATAAGTGAAATCGCTGTAGGGGGCAAGCAAATGTTAAACAATTTTCCTAGCGGCCATTTTTGATAGCGACCGCTTTTTTAGTGTTCTGAAGCTAGGGTTTTTATAGCTTTTTGTGTTGCTTCGGAATGTTGAGCAAGCTAAAGGCTTAAGAGAAACCGTGTAGAATACAATGCATACTTCAGTGAATATCTTTTCTGATACCTAAGCTGAGAGTGAGTGAAGTTACTGGAGGCCCAATCTCCAAATCACTGAAATCCTTATACCCATAAGGCCGGAAACACACTAGTTACTCTTCTGGTGTTGCGTGTGTTCATGGGCGGCGCTGATTGCTTACTATCAGGTATGAGGTAATCCGTATCCTATCACATAAAAAAACTACACTTTTATTTTCACTGAATAAACAAGCATCAAATATTTGTCATTCATGTTGTTTCAACATTTTGTCATTTATTATTAATAGTCAAATATGCATAAGAAACATACGAGACCTTACGCTCGCCCTATCAACGATATCTAAATAAGAATAAAACTTTGGTATATAAAAGTAGACTTACCAATAAAAAACCAGACGTAAGACTTTCCATAGAGGCGATGTTTATAGACTTCGCAAAGTACACGACGCGCCGCGACTACATAGAACAAGCCGACAATGACACGCGCATCCTGGCGCCTCAGGTTTCGTACGGCGTCCGCTGGGTCTGATAGAAACGACTGCCTGGTCACGATTTCAATGCCAGCCTTCTTGCAATGCGCCTCTAAGTCTTCTACAGTCTGTGGAATAAAACAAGGGTAAGTGACGTCCAACTTATTTTGTGTCGAGTTTCTGTAAAAGAATATCTTTAATCTGTGACAAAAACTTACAATATAGGCTCAAGAATACTTAGGTGAAATGTCAACTTTAATAAAACTTATGCATATTATATAAAAGGAGGTTTTACATGTATGACAGCACGTCGGGGTGTGATGTGAATGTGACATTGTATGTTTGTAAATGCACCTACGACATAAGGAAAAATAGTAGAGTGAAGCAACGCTTTAAAAAAAAACAAATTAAAAATTTCTCGAATAAAAAATATTATGATGAGATTTATTACAAGATCTTACTTCTCCACTGGACTGTATATTTTGAACATTAATAAAGTTAGCATTTAAAAAGCTAAGTCCAAAGCGGCTATCGTAAGTCTTGATATCTCGGATATTAACGTCTCAGTGAAAACATCACGCTTCGCTGACTTTTCTTCCATTGAAAGTCGGTAAGTAAATAAATTACGAGTTCAAAAATTACATGTACCTAAAGCCGACTCGAGTCGATAGGACCATTCGAAAGGAAATTCGAGTCGAACTGAATTTTCCTAACTCCTCAAATCCGGAGTACTAAAGTAGCTACGGAATAAGTGTTTGTATGTAAATTGGACCGTTGAGGGTTTTTGCTGTGATCCGCGTCAATACGAACGAAAATGAAAACCTTTATTACACAAATATTTGGGGCGTCAGTTGTTTTTATGTGCGTGAACTCTAGCAAAAATATTTCTTGGCCGCCGTGAAAGCAAAACAGGAGCGCAAGAACGCTTCAAACCCACTTATGCAGAAAAAACCGGGGCCGCTCTAATTACATTGAAACCAGCGTGAAAGGCCTCGCTCCATTCATTGCGGGTAACTATACACTATACACACCCTTCGTTATGCTCGCGTGAGCTATATAAATACGTGCTTTACCTGACAAAAACGCCTACAGCCTCGATGCATAAATCTAGGGCTACGACAATTATATTTCATTTTCACATTCTCATAGAGAACAGAGTCGTTAAACTTTTCAACTCTCCGTGAACTGAAATAACTTAAAAGGATTTATTGTAAGAAGAAGGCAATGTATTTTATTAAATGTCCACCTCTTTTCGGGTATTAGCGCTAAGTAGCTCTTAAGAGAAAAGGTAGATGTTTCGTGAATTTTATTTAGATTGGCTTCGTGTTCGCTGGCTACGGTATTACTTGAGTATCTATAAATGTATGTATGTTACAGGTTTTGTGTATTTATATTTAGTACACGACGCAATTTTTATCTGTGATTTTTATTGTTCATGGTTTTAATCAAGTTCGATCAACTGAAACTTTAATAAGATTCTAGACTACTGTAGGGAGGTATTTAATTTAAATATTTATTGTAGGCCATTAAACCTTCCGCAACTTAAAAGACCATTGGAAAAATACTATAATACAGAACCCTCATCGTAGATTTACAATGACATAAAATGTGTCTTTATCACAAATTTTCAGGTTAAGTGTAAGATAAAATGAGTAATCGAGAAATTGTTGGTTCACATAGCGATAAACGGGACGTTAACGGCATTTTTATAATATGATATAATAACTTGAAGCCAAAGAATTAATATCGGAGTTTTATTACACAAACAAAGGCTGGAGGACAGGAATAAACAGATAAAAATAAACAACCAGGGAGGAGAACTACTCATGAATATTGTGATATAAATATATGTGTTACAGAAAACACTTTCAGGCGACTTCACTTAGATTTGCTTATTCCTGCTAGCTACGACCGCTATGCCTGAATAAATACCGTTCCATCTATGGAAGTATTCGTGAAGATACGACAGTAGGATTCAGTAAATACTTATGTTCTCGTATCATATATTTTCACTGTTTGAATTTCATATTGTGGCTGAAATCGGAGTATAGGGAGATAGGTCGGTAGCGGGTGTCGCGCGGAGGTAAAAAATGTCCAGTTACAACCATTTATCATGTAAGGCGCATTGTACTCGTGGCTCACTCGGGGGCGATTATTTTCTCTTTATAACCATTGTTATATTATATGGTGGGGACGCAGGCTTTAATACGTCCGGCAATTCTAAACGACTGCTTACTAGATGGATTGTTAAGTCGTAACATGGGACGTAATGTGTTATGTGAGAGCTCGTTGTAGATCCGCAAAGTCATCGTCTGATAGTTCCTATTTATAGGTTGTTTGTACGTAGATATACGTCTGAAAACTAAGCTAAGAAGAGTTTTAAAGTAGGTAACATTGTTATGGAGTTGCATTTCGGAAAATGAATCTTGCAACCGTCTTTGTTTACTAACCAATCTCTGCACTCAATATGAATTGTTTACACTTGAAAATTGCTCACGTAGCCACGTCGAAGGAAATTGAAATTTATATAACACATCCTAAAGCTGAATTCTGTCGTCCTACATTGTAACGAAGTAACATGAAATACTCGATAGCCAGTATTAATAAGTTGTATCCACAGTACCAGACTTACACAATATTTTATAGACTAGTCACGCATGACTTATAGAAGATGTCTAATATTTAGTTCGCATACATAGTCACAGTGAATATTGGCTAAGTTAATATTCCGTTTACTGGTTATCGATAGTTGGATCGTAGTACTTTGTTACATTTGCTCGCATCGCAAAATTTGCAGACGTCCACAAATGGCCCCAGCGGTTTTCAATACATTATGAAGTCGATTTCGTCGATCCTTCGAAGGCCAATCATGAGGATCGTTTGACAATCGGCAACAAAGCGCTTAGCGTGTCATACTCCACTCGATGTCGATACGAACAACTGTCGATCGAACAATTTAAGTCACGCAAGCGGTGGAAACAGCCGACACGATATGGTACCCCTACATAATCACTCGTCGCCATATCACTTTATATTATCGGCGCGTTCACTCCACAGGTTGAATTATCGAAAGCTAATGTAATGTAAAGATAACATGTGTAGCGGGCATAGATGCGTAAGTTTGTACAACAGTGAATAAGACACGAATATGTTTTCCTTTTGTATCATCTATCTCGTTTCACAATACCCTAAGCATTCGAAATCTATTATGGCGGTTGAAATGGTTCGAAACGGGAGAATAAATTTAAGTTTGCCCATAAAATTGGAACGTTTTATCAAGGGAGACGTCATGGCTGAGGAGACGCAAACTCGGCCCGGTTCGCTGCGGCCACAATTACTTTTCTATTTCTTATGTAAACCTCGGTTCTATCTTCGCGCTTGTCCGAGAGCAAAAACGACAATTTTGCAATGCAACGACAATTAATTATAATAATATTCCTGTCGTGATGAAAATTTACTTGAGAAGCATAGGGAAGTTTTTCCTAATAGCTTATACCGCTAATTGTTTTATGAATTCAAATATAAGACGTTTGATTATCTTATTAAAATCTTCGCTAACATCAATTTAGTGGTTCTCAATTACTTACAGAAATAAAGACTTCCTCTGCCTGTTGTAAGATAGCGATACGTGACCATCCGAATTTCTGCATGAGTTTGATCCGAGTTGGGTTGTGTACCGTTGCTGATGGATGGGTCCGGAACAGCGTAGGAAAACGCGCGCGGTCTGACAGCGCCGGTGATGACGCGCCGTAGCAGAGCTGGGAAAAATAAAAAATAGTTATTTTATTATTAAATGGCTGCCCTATCATCACTATAAACATAAAAGGTTACAAAAAATTCACATACATCCCTTTATGAGATTAATTTTATTAAAATTGACAATCGATAATTCAATCTCGTACATTAAGTTGATAAGAGCCTTTCTCGAAACATAAAAGAGCCAAAGTAATCATTTCGTCGAAGCATATTAACCCTTAAACGTTCGAGTAAAAATAATAAAAATTAATAGCTTTGCCACACCGTTTATAGGGATTAATTTTGCACTTGAGAGGATTTATGTCACATTACAATAAAGTGGAATGTGGTACAGGATTTCATAACATACAAAAATTCTTTCGCGAAAATCGCGACGGTCCGTCTCATGGGGGTGACAAAATGATATAGCAGTACATTCGGTTTGAAAAATTGTTTCTTTTTGATACAACTTCATATATTCTCTGTTTTAGTTCCTTAGTTGATTCTAATATGGGAAAAGTTTTGTAATTTATTATAGATATATACAAATTAAAAGAATAACATCTCATTCTAGACGTTTTCGAGTATCTAATTCATGAACATGCATAAACATAAAATGTTCCAACCAATTAACAAGCTCCTCCTTTTGTTTCTGACATTGCTCAGTTGAAAATGTATCAAGTATTTTCACCCAAATAAAAGTTAACACAATTAATTTGCGTAGAAAATTCGTTAAGAACAACTGCTCGGTACCATAATCAACTCGTAAAGTAACTTCTTAAACGATGAACAATCTAATTAATTAAATGCTCCAACGAAATAGATACCTAAAAACAAGGATGGTAGAACTCATCAACAAAAACGGTGTTGTGGATACACAACCCTAATATTCATAAATGGCCCTTGGGATTCACTTGAACACCATTAACCAATCAAAACACGTTATGCCAATGTTCCCACCGCTGACCCTCGTTTATGAACGGAGGTTTTTATATCTTTCACTTGTTTTTTCTTTTATTGAACTTCGCCCATTTTAGCCTGTTATGATTTAAAGCCGGGTTTACAGTTCGTAGGAAAAAATAAAGCATTCAGCCTAGAGCTCTCGTTTAGGTAATAATATTGCAGGAAATTCTGGCATTTTTCCAAATGTTTTCGATGGGACGTTATCTTTAGTTACATTTTGTTTCATATGAGTATGTTAAGCTAGGTTTTTGGAATAGACTTCAATGATCGACCAAGTATCGGTGTGATTCTAATATTGGTTTTTTTAAAGGTGGTTGTCTGGAAGGATCGAGCTCCCAAAAAGTAGATGTATGATGTTAATTATTACAGGTCTTAATAAACTGCCACTGCCACATAAGGAGTCACAGGCACGTTGCCGATCATTTAAAAAGGAGTACACACGCACGTTTCTTTTATGTCTGATTGGGCCTCCGGTGGTCTCACACAGCAAAACACAACGTAAACTTTGTTTTACGCCGGTATTCTGTGTGGTCGCGGTATGGCATTTACTTTAAGTAAAATATCTACGCTCTTTATTCAAATTTATCTGTTACTTAGTTTTTATTCGGACTTCACAAATACTATGTGAAATACCTACTAACACGAAGGATCTTCACAAAAAATAGTTTCGCATTGTATTTGCAAACTTCTTGGTCGTACAATAGCACTGGCCATAATGAATTAGTTTTTTATTATACTATAAATGTCAGTCGATAATCTTGTGACTTAGCACAAGCAAACTTTGGACCTCTCTTCCCAGTGGACAAAGTTTATGAAGTCCGTCCGTAATCTGGACATGTGTCAAAAGTATAACTATTTCGAAAAGTTTAGGTACACCCAAAGGTCGAGGTTAAGATACGATAAAATTGTATGAAAAGATATCGTTAGTGGTACATTTTTAAAGAATGTGCTTACATTAAAACTTTTTGCAATTTTTTGGCCATTTGGGGATTCATTTTTGAAAGTAGAACAGTCTATTATTATAAAACTTTTGGTTAGATAAACGTTTGTTTATACTGGACGACTCGTAGTTGGATTTGGTTCGATTTTTAAATTTATGAATATTCCAGCAGTGTGGTGGAAAATTTGAATCCGGTGAAGTATAAGTAAGGATGTGTCTTTTTGTGTAATAAAGAGTTTTTATATTAAGTACTTATTTTTTGTTGTAGGTTAGTTACACTTACGTGTCTTGTCACTAAGTGACCACTTTAGCAAACTATAAGTCTATAAGATAGTTGAGATAGTAAGAAACGTTTTTTAGTCTGGTAGTTCTTGAACTTTGCTTATCAATTTTCAATTCTATTATTAAGATAGAGAGTTGTATATTGCATGTTGATACTTACAACCATAAGGTTCCACATCTTGGCGGCTTCAGCAACAGTGGTACATACAGTTGAGCAACCAGCTAACAGCAACAGTTTCTGTGGCGGGTTGTAAAGCAGGTTGTACATGACGCTCGCACCTAGTCCCGGCTCGCACTGACGGACAAACAAGTACATTTAATTATACAATATAGTCTCTCAAACAGCGTATGGAAACTACATCAAATTTTCCAAGCGACAATGTATTTTGAATCGTGTTGACTTCATAAAAAGGTTCAAAATAACGTGATAGCATGTGAACAGTTTTGGGTAATGTCATACGCTGATCAGTTCAGCACAACAAGAGAATGTGAAGCGTGATTTGTTGGTTTACCTTCGTTAACTAAGTTAATGAACAAACACGAGAAATAGGTAATGGCGCCGTTCACTGTTTCTATTTGAATGGGGAAATGTGTTATGATTGTTGTGTGCTCTCCTATTGTGTGGTGTGTCGCAGGATTATTCCTGTCCGTTATGAAACATAATTATGTTTTAAAATAGGAATACCCACTGATTGGATTTGAGAAAAAACGTTGTCGTGTTTATTTCAAATTTCGAATGATTTCAAATACCAAATTAATTATATTATGATCTTTACATTGGTTATTTTTATTTTCCAAGCATAAATTATTTACGTTTGTTTTTAGCATTCAAAAGCCAAAATCTGAGCCATTAAAGAAAAAATTTTAGTCGTATCTACATAGTTACATAAGTACGTTGATTCAATTATAGATACATACATAGGTTTACAGGAACTTAAAGATAACATCAGAATTCAAATTATTCAAACTACAAGTATCTCGAGTTGAAACATTAAATAAATAGACCTTATGTACCACCGAGTTTCAAAGTCTACATTCATATTCATGACTGACGCAATTGTTTGACGCGTTACGATTAGCTAATTGAATTCCAAAAAGCCTCTGATTGGTTGTAACAGCGTTAACGCATACAGTCAGCGAATCAGAGCAAAGAGTTTTTAATTAATTAGTGAACTTGACCACATTAGCCAGATAAGAGGAAAGGTCTACTTAAATATAATTAAGGCAGGCCATTTAATCTTATCAGCTATCCTTTCGTATTTATTGCTTTTATATCTGTGATATATTTACTTTGATGTGGTGAGTGTACACTTACTCCGAAGAGTAAAGTAATTAGGTGGCCGGTAAAAAGCTTTGCCATGTTTCGTGGCACAAGTTTTAATTCAATTTTCGATGGCCGATATTCAGCTCGTCATGAGTTTCATACAAAAAGCAAGGTAATTTTTTTGTCTATAGAAAATTTATATTTTAGCGTAGTTTTGAAGTAATTCTGAAAATATATGTACACCTTTTAAATTTACGGTAGAGTGTTTTTGTAATAGCACTTAATGTTATTTTTATATTTTTTTTTATTTAACACGGTGCTGTTGCTCATGGTGCTTATACGGGGTTGCGGAAGCAAGCGCACCACGCGGCCCCAGCCTGGAGCAGGAGAAGGAAGAAGAAGTCAGTAAGACTCTGTCACTCCCTCTCGCACTATTCAGAGCGGGAGAAGTCATTTGATGATACATAACATAACTGCAAAGATGTGCTAAAAAAAATATTGAATTTGACTGCCTGTCATCAAATACCTATAATATTCAACTAGTCAGGGCCAGTCAATACATCTGAAAATTTCCTTTTATATTAAGCACCTAGCTTCACTGACGAACAGACTGACAGACTATTATTCCATTTTGACGTTTCAAAAGTGATGTTATATGCAAATGTATGGGTTAGTTGGAATATAAGATTTCATTTTGAAAATTGAAATAAGAACGGATTAATTAAACAGTTATTACGTCAATAAAGTAATGCTGGTTATAATATATTAACAGTTTACAAAAGAGTAAAATATAAATAACACGTATCTATAAACCCACATACTCACAATTAAAATTAATGTATTATAATGACGACCGCACAAAATGGGAAGTGGTTAAAATAATTTGATGGCAAAGGAATTAAGTAAAAAATTAATTGCACTGATATTTATTGAATTTATTTATTAATGTGGACAGGACTTGTGTTTTATATTCATTTGTGTTTAATTTTATTGTTAATTTTAAATACTCATGTATGTATGTACGAGTGTATACTTCACTACAGAACAGACTCATACGTATTTTTTGTCTGACGTAAAAAGTGCCTGTTGTGAATTTAGTTTTTGTGGCTTAGGTAATTGTTATTGTTTGATAAAAATGTTCGTTGTTTAAGTGGTTAAGTGTTACGGCCTAGGAACGGCTCAGCGAAATAAAGATGTTGTGGTATTTAGAAAATGAAACTTAAAGTTAAAGTTGGACCTCTGGCTGGTTGAATGGCTTAGAGTACCTAAACCAATCAGAGTACCGATTGCTAAAAGCGAATTAATTGCTTTTATTTTTTTTATTTTAAAAATATTTATTAATATTACTAATAACCGCAACTCCGGCTGGTATTATTAACGTAAAGAAATAGAAGTAATTCCAATTTTTAAAAATTCCTTTCTCTTTTTGTGGGTACTTACTTACTTTCAGTAAGTTGCATAAAATTTAATGAAATGGGTTCTTACTAATGAAGTTGTTTTTTGGAATTCCATTTTGGTATAAAAATCTATAGAAATTTTGATGCCATTTCTAAGAAGCATTACATTCATATTTTCATCATTATTTATATGTATAGCAACGACAACCAAACCTTTAAGAATCTAAGAGACGTTGGATAATGTAAAATTTTGCGCTGACTAAATTATTTTCTCATCAAGACGTTATAATGAGAAATTTAAGCTCTATATATTAATATATTCGGTGCCGTGTAACATTCGACCTCAATAAACCCTCACTTGCCATTATAATGACTCTTAAGGTTATCCCCGATAATTCCTCCCTATTATGTTACACTTCCCTTCGCAATTTTCGTCAGTGGGTAATCGCCACGTTATCAACATCGAACTGATCGGAATCGTCAATTTGTCCGTAGATAGGTATGAATCGGTAAAACCGGAAATTACCTTCAACCGGTGCGGAAATTCTATCCAATAAAATTTCTTCGTGAACCATTCATAAATTCTCTATAATTGAATCGAACGTCAGCTTCACCCTCTCAGTTGCAATATCATAAGCCTATGACTTTGCTTCATTTGGATTTATGGCGGCACTCCTCCTGGATGGATATACGATCCCTTTTTGTTAATTAGCGGGACCGCAGTCAGCTTGGCAGACTTTACCTCGGCAATCCATTTCCATGCTACTTGTCAGTCTGAATGAAAAGCGAGAGGTGACGACACGCACATTAACTTGATTGGAATTATAATTGGCATTTTCGTAACTTTGTCGCTCACAAACTTACATTGCCTACGTATAATTAAGTTTTGTGTTACCCAGCCCCCACATTATACCCAATTTCACCAGTAGATTAAATATGAATTTGCAGCGCCATAATGAGCACCCACATATGAGAGAAAACTGAAAAACCTCATAAATTGTCGCACACAATACACACGTATTGGCACATGAAAGTAATTTATCGACTCTCTTGGTAAATGGATGATTAATGAACCAAATTTACCTTGCTATCGTTGCTGTGAATGTATAATTTGAAGCCGGACAATAAATCAGAGCGCGCGTTGACATCCGCGAGTGCGAGCTCGGCGGCTGGCTTGCAGGCCTGCCCGCCCTGCCACCCGCCTTCGCCTTCCATGGGGAAAATACCCCCAATATGGAGGTCCCCGTCGCGCCGGCCCTCGCTGTACCCGCCGCCGCCGCACCCGCTCAGCCACAGCACCAGCAGCGTCCGCGCCCGCCTCGCGCCCCCGCCCCGACATCTCCACCGCAACACAACACACTTGGCAACAACGAATAATTGCACTATTGTCTTCACTAACAATGCTTTAATATCACAATACACTGTTCTAGTTCGAAAACTAAACATATTATCCACATCAGTTTTTAATTTGACTAGCGGACGCTTTGGAAAATTAAAGTTTACTCGCACCCGCGGCAGGGAGGCGGCGACGTTTTGATATAAACGTGATATCACCCGTAGATATTGTAGACATAGCCTAATAAGCGTTAAATTTTCTATAAAATATGGCATTGAGTGTGCACGGGGGCCCGGGCTGGCGCGCCCCGCCGCCGCGGCCACTGCGCGACCCTTGGCGCCCTGCAGGGTCATCGCTCGCGGCGGGGACATGCTGTCATTGTTCACCTCTCTCCGCATTTTCCATGCTCTCTCCTGTAACAAATAAAAATGCTCTCGTTTTCATCTGAATTGTTACTCTGCGAGCTTTGCTGAAGCTCGTTATTTGTAAATACTGCTGGAGAATAATTTAGTTCCGTTCTCCCGACTTTAAAAGCTAAAATGAGTACAATGGAATCTACGTAGGTGGTTTGTGTGACTAACGATTTCAAAATATTTACCGTTTTCATACCAAAAAGCATTTTTGTAAACGGGTCGCAAATTGAATTAAACACATTCTCATCCAAAAATCCGCAACATTCACACTGTGACACTAGCAGTATGTATGCACAACTCAGGAAATGCTTCAACCAATTTGGTAAATGAGTTGTTAAAATCGCATTTGTAGAATCGCATTTGGGAACGTGTCATTGCGATTAATTCAACAGACCGCTGGCAGCTAATTGGGTTGTAGAAATGTTCTAAATTCTATTCAATTGCTCATTAAAAACCTTATGAGCTGGACTATAACGAATTAGGGGTCACATTTTATTTAACTCGAATTAGGACAGTAAATAAAAGGAAATAAAAGGAAATCACAGTAAAAAATCTATCTTAATCAACTTTTTGTCCATATTATCCATGCAATAAACGGCCTTGATTTTAATATGGAAAAAATAGCATCTTGGCTATTTTGTGATAACCCAACTTCGAGCGCGAGCCTATATCTAACCGACAGAATAGGAAAAATCTTTAGAACCATATCTCCACAACTAAATCCCTATATCCTACTGATATTGGATCCTTCATCTCTCACCAAATTGTATAAGTTGAACATTTATTCATATCTCTATTGTACAAATGTAGCTGTTCATAGATATGAGAGTGATGCTGGCAATAACGCGAGTTTCAGTTTAATATTGACGTCTGGCGCGGCTTTAGCGCCACTTAGCCGATAGCTACAGATCACAATGGCAGACTTCGGCTCTGATGCTTTGAAAGAGTTTCCATTCTCTCGAAATATTCGAGTATCGAGTGACTTTTACCCCTTGCTATATAAAATATCGATTGCTATTGATGCAACCGGGACTGGTTGTATTGTTATAGGCTGCATAGAATTTGTTAAGCTAGATTTGTAGGTTCAAAGGAAGCACTGTTATTTGATAAAGTTTCTATAACAACCCCTTACATAATTTACAATAAATGAAATATGTGTTAACCAAACAGTGGGAATAGAAAAAAAAACAAATAATATGACTGTTACTCGGCTCACAGTAGCGACAAGTGACACAAAAGAAACTATTGAGATAGCATTCCAATTTTTTAAAGAATGCCGTTATTTTTTACAGCTTAGAATTGACTTCAACCAAGCTGGGAAAAGATGAGAAGAGGGACAGGAGTGCTTTGTTTAATTTATCCTATTCCAATATTTATTTGTAAAAAGTGGTAGAAAAGAATTATCTAAAACCAAATTAGAAAAAAACTATCTAAGAATACATTCTTCTAATTAAAACATAATTTATAAAAGTCAGCGTGTAACCAAACTAAATATCAGGCCTTATTTTATTAGTAGCTTTTTCATGAGTAGGCTGTTAGTTGCATGCCTCCGAACAGTTACCCATAACGTTCGGAAAGACATAAAAAGCCGGGGATTAATCAATAAGAATTTCTGCTGGCGGATACAATAAGCCTGATAACAATCGACTCGCTGTAATCGCACCGCAATGAAATGAGAAGTTAATGATTCGTCGCTTATTCCTTATTCCTTTGTAATAAGGGTGGTAATCAATGAAAGAAAATGGTGTTCAATTAAAATGACGATTTTCTCAAAGCATGAGACGTAATTAAACGTCGTCCTCTATTTATCAACCTTTTTACTGACTACTGGCCAGTAATTAAATTTATTTCCAAGAAATCGATTCTTAATGTTGATTTTGTTCGCTAGGTCGAGTAGGTAGCGATAAAATTTTAAGTTGAACAGTAACTTATTTGTTTTGTACATATTTT